TTGTGACAGGCTGGGGATCCCCTGGCCAGCTCTAGCCATCCCCAGCTCCAGTGGTTTGGGTGTTGACTAACTGTGCGATGCCACTTAGGGAATCCCAGTCAAAATGTGCAGCACAGACTCAGATCAGTCATGATCAGGAATATAGCAAACCCAAACTGTATTCCAAACAAGCACTTTCACTGAAAGGGCCATTTAGGAGCCCTCTGAGTTCTATTTAAGACCTTACATGGGCTGCTTTTTTCAGCTGCATTAACTACTTAGATAATTCCAACATCTTGCTTAGAAATCAAAGACATTACGGTAGCTGATTCATTAAAATGCTGAAATTCCCAAGAGACTCCACTGAAAGCTAATTACACTAACAATTAGCAAACTGTCTCGCTAGATTACACCTGGTGTTAGAAATTCTCATGCAGCAAAGTAAAGCTCTTTCATCGGTATTAAAATGTACAATGAAAGTTTGTACTGAATGAAAGTACAACCTAACTATACTCTACTTAAACTGCCCTGCAAAAGCAGCCATGAAATTCTTGTCAATTCAGATATAACCTAGGGTTTCATTTGTCATACTTACATTGTTACATATACAATATTTCTATAGAACTATTTGTCATGAAAATGGTATGAATATTCTTCAGCACAACCCACTGAAACCAGAGTTACATAGAATGCTCTTTTCTCTGTGCAAATTGTGAGTTTATCTCACTTCTGTCCACAGCTCCTGTAAATCTACAAATAATAAATATAAATTTGAAATGCATAGAATGCCCAAATTAATTAAACTAAAGGAACAATAGTAAATCTGAAAACATACAGTAAGACTGCTTATAAATCTTTAAATGTAATACGCTACATAAATATTACCACAATAGAATGTGACTGGAAGGAATTTTGAAAGTAACAAAAAATAGGTTCACATCAAAATACCTAATTATAATGGCAAATTGCATCTATATGTTTTTGCAGATCGCTAGGATGTCTAATTGACAGAGATGCAAAGAGTAGTCTTTCAAGAATAAATCTTATTTTATTTATTAAATTAAGTGATTCAAATTTTTAGATATTAGTCAAGACAAATCAGGCTGTTATACAGTGCAGAATCAGATGCAGGGAATAATAACAAGGACTCATAAAGCAGGCACAGTACGTTAATAGAGAAGAAGTAAAATACTTACCTATTGACAGAATTTCACCCTTTAGGTTTTGTCATGACAAAATCTTAGAACAAGGTCAGAAGCAATACTTACTCCATATTAAATTGTTCTACTTCTTATATAAGTAATAAATGGTAAGAATTACTCAAATAATAACAAAAGATTGTTGTCCTTATTTTTTATCACATGACTCCACACACTCACAGATTACATCTATTGGAAAAAATACTGTACAGTACACAGAGACTGAATGCAATCTTGCTACCATGGCCTTCGTTAATAGTCATATTTGCTCACGTTCCTCTACACTAAGCTTAACTACAGGGCCAAAAAAGCAGTTCCCCATAATGTCTAACATTTCATAGAGGAAAAGCAACCTTCATAAACTTTCTAAATTGTGTAGATCTGTCTTACTCCACCTAGCACAGTTTTTCCTCAATTCCACATCTTTTGGACACAATAAAGAACACAAGCTCCATCTTGTGGTGTTGCACTGTATGGAAATATGATTTCCTGCCACTCATGAATGGTCTTTTCTTGGCTTTTCTTTAGTTCCACTTCATCCTATGTGTTGTGTTGTTAAGGTGCTTTAAGAGTGAACAGAGAACAACAACAACAAAAATGTCTGGTTTAAGGATTGCATCATGTCATAATATAGGTTATAAATTACTCAAGCCTCTAGCTGATAGTAAACACAAAAGGGACCATCACTGACATGAGAGAATATTCCATAGTGACATCTCTATATTTTAATAATTTAATTGACAATAAATTGATTTTAAAATCTGCAATTTTGAATCAATTGCTTAGGAAATTCTTAAAATGCCCAATCTGTAATACATAATTATGACAGGGAGATTCTGCTAAATTGGAAAAGTCTTTCTCAGAGCACATCTATAATCATATACAAACCAGAGACCCTTCTGACCTCTCCCTGGTTTATATGGCAAAGATCCTTATGTCACTTCCATGTATTATCAATAATCATTTCAAAAGTTCACAAGGATCAGGACTTTCTTGCATCATCCCAATGCAATTTAGTAAATTGTGACAGACTAGAAATGTATGGATGCTAACTCGTATTTGTAATGTCAGGAATCATTTGAACAAAAATGCATTTAAAATCAGTGATTAGCGTATAGTTACATAAATACAGTAGGAATAGTTTAAGTAGGAAATATTACATGTTGGAAGAGTCATTTTCTCTTCTGCACAGTAATTCAGATTTTGCTCTTCACTGAGCACCGAACAAAGCATTTTAATACTTAGATAAAACATAAAACTGTAATAAAGAAAAATAAAAAAGTGTGTAATGGTATCTAGGAAAAAGGAAAATATTTAAGTATCTTTTATTTCAAAATAAATTCTACATTTTATCTACAGTCTGACAGTAAAACTTGTCTATACAAGTATAAGAAAACTCATAAATAATATGAACAAAAAGGCTAATTGCTATAAAATGAATTGTGTGAATGTTTTGTTCCATTGATGAGTGCCATCTGTCCAGACATGAGATGTAGATTCTGTACCTTTAATAGTGATTAATTAAACTGCTAATAAGTTACATACATCACAGTTAACACCCACAAAACAATACTGGAGGAAATGTTATGAAACAAATTAGCTTTAACAATGATAGAAAATTACTTCACACAACTAAATATTACACCCGCTTCCGTTAGCCATATTTCTTAATGAATTCTCTAATTAATTTAATTCACACATTGTGCATAATTTGAAATTTAAAATGTCACTGGGTCAGATTTTACCATAGTCTTTTGCAGGCTGTCTGTTTCAACAAGAGACATATTAGCAAAACATGACCTCTATGCAAATTGCATAGACCAACTGTTGTAATTTTAATTCCAATCCCTGATTAGCATGTTCTTAAGATATCTCTTGAGCATTTTTATAAAACAGTATATACATATATGCTCATATCAATTAATCTGAATGTAAACATGTAAAGCCGTCATCATTAGCCTCTCTGGGGAAGGTTTCATGGATATATTACCTGTAAAAAAAAGATTCAGGTCGTAAACGATGTGATATTTTTTAGAATTTGATCTTATTTTCTAAAAAGAATAACTTTACCTCTACATGCAGAAAAAGTAGTTGAGTGACTATAACAGGAGGGACAGAATCATAAGTAAGAAAGAGTTGAATTAATCTTGGTAGACACGGTTCTTCCTGAAAGAACTTTCAATAGTAAATACTGTACATGCATCATCAAACCTAGAAACAAATACTTATCGCCACGTATTTCTTTATATTTCAGCATTCACCTTGGAAAATGTAGCAGAAAATAAATCCATGATATTTAAATTCATATAGCATGCATAATTTGTTTAGGTCAATCTGTATTGAGCTCATAGCACCAGATGATGTTTGTAAGTAGAAAAAAAGAGCTTTTGGCCAATAAATTAAATATATAAATAAATGAATTACACAGTCTTTCAAGCTGAGCTGCAGGGGTTTCCTGAGGGCAATCATTTAGCAAACAGGATAATAAAACAGAGGGTAAAATGCTAAGGGCAGCTACCAAGGGAGGCACAGGTTAGCCTGATTGGGATTCCTTTCCTCCAATATGAGTGACACTTGATGTGGTTGATACAGCTAAAGGTGCTCTTGGGACACTTCCTTATTTGGTTAGAAACTTAAAACCCGACTCGATCCACACTGATTAATTCTGCCATCTACATCACCATCTAATGGCCACATTACTACACTGAATAGTTCATTGCTGAAGACTGCACATTATGTAGTCCCACTATACATCGAGGTAGGGAGATCTGTGAGCCCAAGTGGGTCTCAACACCAAACCACAGAGCAAGAAACAATATAATTATCCTTGGTGTAGTCACTGATTAAAAAAACTCTTCTCTGACAAAATTGTCCATTATAGTCTTTAATATTTTAATATTTAGTGACATATATTACCTCCCCCAAAAAACGCAAACTAACTGCACTCGCCACCCCATTTTTGCCATTTCATATTTTGCTTTAATTAATAACGATTAATTGCATTATATTGTACTTTCCAACCTACTAACATACATTACCAACTTGACATGGGAAGCTGATGCACTAGAAATCCCGCTACACAGCAGAAACTGCTTCCCCATCTAAATAAAGAGGGAACTTCAGGCCCACCGGGTTTATAAACCAAGGTTAACAGCCCTGCTCTTATGAATGGTGCCATGGAACAGGCAATGGCCAAGTATTCAAGATCTCGCTTTTAGGGACAGCCACTCCTGAAACTGTGAACTGGTTCAGGAAATTCTGTTGGAGAGGGAACAGTACCAACTAACAGACCACCAATGTCACTCACTGCAGAAACTGGTTTTCTTTTGAGGTCTCCTGTTCCTATACTGACCAGGCCCATCCATGATAGGATCCATCTAGAAGGTGATAACAGCACTGTTTTGACATTGCTTCTAACCTTATGCACACCCTAAAATACGTCCAGGAGAACAACTTGATTATACGCTGGAAAATGGCCAACACATTTCTGCAACCATCTTTGTATGGTGATGCTTTTTTGTTTTTATTTTCTTTTGCTTTATTTTTTAAAATAAAATAGTCATTCTTTTTTTCAATGAGAAAAGGTCACAAAATAAAAAGAAAAGGTATTTACAGTACATGCACATTATATACAAAAATAAAAGAAGAATGGCATCTACAATGAAGTATGTATAAGTGCAAAACAGAAAGTTTTAAACCAGCTATTTAATGGCTCTCTAAGTCGACTAACACAAAAGTCCTTTATTTGTAAATGTACATATAATACTTACAATATATTTTATAACCATATATGTTCGGCATTGTATGACACTCCCACCCAAAATTTCTACCTGTACCAGCATACACATCTCAACTGCTTACCAGGATTAAAAGCAGTCTATTATCAGATATCCTGCCAATCATACAGTATAACTTTTAACCAGTAAAAACAGGCCCACTTTGTCTTTTTTAAACTATACGTGCAAGCACATTTCATGTTGGTAAGGTCTCCCCTTACAGTAATAATAGGTAACCTATAGATGTCCCAGTGAGGACATTTCTATAGAAACATATAGCTTGTTTTCATTTCAGTCACGAAATAAGAACACGAGTGCTTAATAGGTCAGTAAATGTTTTTATTAAATGTTTTTTTTGTCTCTGAACAAAACGGTGAAAGTGACCTTAATGTAATGAGTGAACAAGACTTTTTTACCCCCTTTTGTCCATCAAGAGGCTGACCTTCCTCTAATTTACAGCATCGGCAATAACAGGCACAGGTGAATTTCGAGGTGACAAGATACATTATAATTTAAGATCCTCCTTTTCAAGTTTATGGAAACGTTAAGTAGGAAACAAGGATAATCATTTAAACAAATTAATACATTTATGTTGGCGCAATACCACAAGTATGTACTGTATCTAATAACACTATAAACACCTCTGGAATTTGCGACAGGAATCAGTAATTCTGCGACATGTATTGTTCACATTTTAGGAAATTCAGTGATTCCTAAGCTTTGGTCTTGTGAACGTTTATCGCCACATCATTATTAACATTATAAACAGACAGTTTTTTTAAAAATATATACAAAATTTCAACATATATGTAGCCTACAATAACAGTCTTACTATTCTAGGATTAACATTCTGCACAAGTGTTTCTAAAAAGTTAAAAATTGTCAATAAAAGTTAGGCTTTTATTCAGGCCCAAACTAATTCCACAATAAATAAAAAACAGCAAGGGTCGGGGGGGTGGACGACACTTTTTAGTTTTCGGTGACGCACGCCTTTTCTACAGCCAGCCCACGGGATGTTATTTCTACAAACAGTCTACGTGTAACTTAAAAAAAACTTTCCCTGTACGTACTCACTTCAAACCAATGCTGGAGAGCCGACAAGCCGGGATTCAGGGAGTGTGCTCAGGTGGCTTACAGCGCGGTACAACTCGCCCATCAGGAAATGCAACCCTCCTCTCCTGGTTGCGTGAGGACATGGGTGAAAGTGAGACTCTTTTTCAAAGAAAATCAAATGCAAACGAAGTGCCTCAATCACTTTGAGTCCAATTAAAAATGATCGCAGTGACTTTCGGGGGCAAGCATAGGCGAACAACGTGGGAACTCGCGAAAGGTAAACGACCTGTTTAGGTGTTTTATTTATTTAAAAAGGGAAAATCGGACAGGCTGTTTTTTTATAGCATCTTTATTTTATGCGTCAGTTTGAAGCTTTTAAAATCGTTTTAAGGCTATCATTTGTCTTCGTAATTCATCGGAGCTAGCAGCCTGAATTGTAATGCCACGCAGGCACCCTCACAAAGTACTGCTCATAATATCGCACAAAGGACACTGGTACCAAACTGTGGTTCACGTCGATAATTTTGAATGTAGAACTTTTTTAACAAAACTACTGAACTAATACAAACACTATGAGGATAAGGAAATATTTCAGAGGCAGTGGACGTGTACTTGCGTTTGTTTTCATTGCCTCTGTCATTTGGTTACTTTTCGACATGGCAGCACTCAGGATGTCATTCAGTGATGTTAACAGTCAGCTTTTAAAAGAACTAATAATAAAGGAAAGGGAGGCACTCAGACGACAGACAACAAGCAGGATTCCTTCCCTGAAAAAAGCACCAAAACTTCCAGAGGTTAAAACAGAAATACAACAGACAAGTCATGTAAAACTGGAAAAACACGTCAAAAAGGATGCAGTTTATAAGAAAGAGGAAGATGTTAACAAGAAAAAAACAAATGTGAAATTTGCTCTTAAAGATATGGATCCTGTACTAAATAAAGCTGCAAAATCTAAAGGAAATGGGGAGTCTAAAGACACGCATGAGAAAACGGAGGTAAAAAGGGGCGGAAAACAAAGCAATAAAATTAAAGCAATGAAGTTGCCCCCAACCTTAAACACGAACATTTCCCTCCCCGTGGTAACTTTTAAAGTGAATAAGAAAGAAAACACAGTCAAAGGTCAACAACAAACAGACAAGGTGAGGCAGATCGCTTTAGAAGTACAAATAGGTAAAACCAATCCCGTCCCAAGGAAAAAAGCATCAATTGAAGAAGCAAGAAATTTGTCCAAAGCTCCTCCTGGCGTGAAGGATGAGGAACTGCACTTAATACATCAATTTGGACAAAAGTCTGGGCAGACAAATGTGACACTTTCAGTTATTTCGTTAAAAGAAACAAAAAGTAATGAGACGGATACAGGAGTCAAATCTCGGAATAAAACCGCTGCAAGTGTCAATGAAAAAAGTCTTGGTGGGACTGACAATTCTTTAAAGGTAAAACTTGCAGGGGATCACATTAAACAACCTGATAAAGCTGATTTGCTAAAAAATCGCACATCTAACATTGACAGCAAAAAGGATATCCCAAAACAAAAAGAAAGAGGTCCAAATTTCAAGAATGCAACCATGGAGGCAACAGAAAAGAATCCAGCGCATGATTCAGCCGTACACAGAGTGCTGCACATTGATGCAACACAAAGCCCAAGAGATCCCAGAGCTCTTGGGCAGTTTGGACACCCTGCTGCTGTCCCCAAGGACAAAGAAGAAGAGATGAGAAATCGGTGGAATGAGGGTTTTTTTAATGTGTATCTAAGTGACCTTATTCCATTGGACCGGGGTATCCCTGATACCAGGCCTCATGGGTAAGTGTGAAGATTTATACTTTAATACATTTATTTGTATACAGACTGCATTAAAAAAATCATGCACAAAATAATTTCTTTTTTTTTTCTGTGAACCTGTCATAGCTGTTCTGAAAAAGCAGTACACGATGACCTCCCATCTACCAGTGTGATTTTTTGTTTTGTGGATGAGGTGTGGTCCACCTTATTGAGGTCTGTGCACAGTGTTCTCAATCGATCTCCACCTCACCTCCTCAAAGAGATCATACTGGTTGATGACTTCAGTACCAAAGGTAAAGGACTTCTTAGCGTGTGAATTTCATCCTTCTTGCCACATGTGCTCCAGAAGAAGGTATTGTTGTAATTTAGGTTTTGGCATATCTGATTATTTTTGCCAATTGTTTTGGTTGCTTTGTCACAGCTTACAGAACATGTTGAGTTGAAAATGAGAATTGTCCTTTAGGGATATTCATCTCCCTGTTTTGTTGCTTATTATTCACCCTTTTGTCTTTTATCCTTTTAATATTTCAAGACTACCTCAAAGAAAAATTAGACAAGTATATGTCACAGTTTCCCAAAGTACGTATTATTCGCCTGAAGGAAAGACAGGGTCTAATACGAGCCAGACTTGCTGGAGCAGCTGTTGCAACAGGTAATTCTTTTGATTGCATTTCTATTTACAAAATATTAAATTAATTTGCTGTTAAAGTGCAGGACATTATCTAATATGAAGAGCGTCATGCAAATTCTGATTTGATTTTTTTTCAGGCTTATGAACATTCATAGTGTTTGAAATCTGCTTTATTTTTTTAAGGTGAGGTTTTAACCTTCCTAGACTCGCATGTGGAGTGTAATGTGGGATGGTTAGAGCCACTGTTGGAGAGAGTTCATATGGACAGAAAAAAAGTTGCCTGCCCAGTTATTGAAGTGATTAGTGATAAGGACATGAGGTAATTGCTTTCTCTGTTGACTTAAAACATGAACAAACAAGAAAGATTATACAAGAGGAGAGTGCATTTAGCCTTGATTTTGTTAATTAGCAGCTTACTAGTTCAAGAACCTCATCAGACCAGATCTTCCCTGATGATGTGGCATATTAGTCTTATCTGTTTACACCTCTACCCTTCAAAAAGTGTTTACTTTCCTAGTGCTACATACACACCTTTTGTAATTATTTCCCCCAGTCCTGTTTTCTCTATTTGTAGTGTTTACTTTTTTCAAAGGCCATTATCCGTTCTTTTAGATCTTTAAAGATCAGTTCTTTTTAATCTTAACCAAATCCAGCCTTCTCTCATCCCCACAGAGTAAAGAAGTCACAGCACGTTTGTAGGGTTCTGAAGTGTATTTCCCACAATGAAATAGATGTTTGCTCCAAATACGTATTTTTTCTTAACACAGTTATATTGTTAAGCACTGTCACATGCAATGGTATATAAAAAGGGAAGCCATTTGTATACCCTTTTGGCTTTGAGAAAAAAACTTTCTCCGTGCTTTATTATCTGAAACCTTCAGAATAAACCTATTCCAAAGCTGTTCTTTGGCTTTTTGCATCCCTACAACTGAAACTTGTATTTCATTCAATCTGTATGAGGGATCTTTTAGTCCTAAAATCATTCTGGCTGTTCTTCACAAAATAGATTGTTTAATCTTAATTTAGGGCTAGCTTTACTCAAGTGCACAATGATTGTGTTGGTGTAGATAACTTGTTGTGATGTTTTCCTTTGAAGAAAAATGAAATTATAAAATACATAAATCCTTGTTATAACCAAGAGAAGATGGGGGAAATCAGTTGCCAGTTCTTGATAAATTGCTAAATATTTTAGTACATTTTCAAAATATTGTCACTTTTTATCTTTCCTTCAGCTATATGTTAGTCGACAATTTCCAAAGAGGCATTTTCAAATGGCCTTTGGTATTTGGATGGAAGCCGATCCCTGAAGAACTTGTAAAGAGAGAAAATATAAAGGATTCAGACCCTATAAGGTGATGTTGGTTAGGAGATGTTAGGATATTGGTTAGGATATTTTAAGACTGGAATTGAACTGCTTTTTATCTTCATATAATGTAGAAAAATAATGTTTATTACTGCTTAATCAATACCATTTCAAAACAGAACAAAAGGGAGGTCACCAACAAGAAAAGAACACTTGGTCCATCTTGTTCACTATGTTACTAATGTTTTATTATTTACCGCTTGCCCTGGACACCTAACCTTCATGCAAAGAAGTACTTATTCCAAATGACATGGCTATATCCTCAAACATCCCTTTGGATTAACTTTGACAGTACATTTCAGGATTTTTAATGTGACAACAATGTACAATGTTGTATGTTTATATACATTATATGCCAATATTACTGTGAGCAATATTTATCTTTTCTAAAACGTGAAGGCTACATTTTAGATCTCCACTAGTTCTCCCATTTTAACAATTTGTCAATATTTGCTTGGTAGATGCCCTGTTATGGCTGGAGGGCTTTTTTCAATTGATAAGAAATACTTCTATGAAATTGGGACATACGACCCAGGACTCAATGTGTGGGGTGGAGAAAACATGGAAATCTCTTTCAAGGTATTTTAAAATTTCAGATACTCATAAAATATGCTTTAAAATGTATGCTTTTTCCCCAGGTACAATCTTGAGAACCAAGCTTTAATAAACAATGCATAGAAGTAAATTTCAGAATATAATATGTTACTGGCACAAAGTTTGTGAAAGTTGCAGTAAGATAATGTTTATATTTGCCTTTCCCCAGGTAATTTCAGCAGTAGTGTTTTAGATTTTTTTTACTGGCTATTTAAAATTGTTTTCTCTCTGAATACAAGTGCAATAGAGAAGGTGTTGCAGATTGTAAACATGTTTTTCTTGTTTTTGATTCAGATTTGGATGTGCGGAGGAGAAATAGAGATCATCCCTTGTTCGCGAGTGGGACATATCTTTAGGAATGAAAACCCATATAAATTTCCCAAAGACAGACAGAAAACAGTGGAGAGGAACCTGGCTCGAGTGGCAGAGGTGTGGTTGGATGAGTACAAAGACTTATTCTATGGGCATGGCTATCACCGTCTTCTGGACCAGAACCACATAGACATTGGCGATCTCACTGAACAGATCCAGCTGCGGAAGAATCTGAAGTGTAAAAGCTTCAAGTGGTACCTGGACAATATCTATCCCGATATGGAGGCGCCTTTACTGAGAGCTGAAGGCCTGGTAAGTTAAGTTTACATGTGAATTAATGAGTTAAAGGAGGGTGGCGAAGTGGTTAGCATTGCTGGTTCGATTTCTTGGGTGCTATCTTGTAGAGTTTACTGTATATGTTCTCTGTGTGTTCAGATGGGTTTCCTCCACGTGCTCCCATTTCCTCCCACAATCCATTGGGATTGTTGTTATTAAATCTCGGTAACAAAATAAATTCATTGATGTCATAGAAAAAAATTTAAAATTTCAAAATTGTGAACTTTGTGAAAGTACTGTAAGTCGTCATGTTGTTGTAAACTCACATTAAAGTTTGCACGAATAGCGACGTGATGCAGTCCTTCCTGCTCGCTAGTCTCCGTAATAAGTAATGAAAAGCGATTTACGAGCAAATAAATACGGGTTGTGGAGCAGACATTTCACAGCAGAAATGTTCCAATGGGATCTGCATGCAAGTAGTATTTGTCGGCAAAACCGTCTCGAAATTGACAGCGATCTTTCTATTGGATTAAAAAAGATGTATTAAAAAGCCTACTTGTTTACAATGTCATAGGGTCACACACTTCTCCGGAAGTTTTGTTGCCTCGTTCTGAATCGCAGAACATGGCAATGTGCATACCTGGAAGTTTTGTGAAGTGAATCTGAGGTTTTACAAGTTACTGCGTACATTATACTTTTATTGCAGTTTGAAATGCACTCATTAGTGCCTCTACAGCTATTCAGAGCAACACTTTACTGACTTTCTAGCAGCTATAAAGCATTACCTACTGATGGTTTTCTTCAATTTTTGATTCTCTCTCAAATTAAGCTATTAAACTAACAACCAATTTCTAGCGATTATTTTGTCCTATAGTGTTTGAAAAGGAATTTCATTAATTTTTCATTTTCTAAACTTCCATTTACCTTAGAAAGGCACCATTGTATTTCCTTTATGAAAAGGAAGTTATATTTGGACAAAGAACTTTCAATTATTTCTGAGATTTCAAAAGTTTAATTCAGGGTCTGTGTCAAATTCATTTATGGAATTGTGTTTGCAGTGTTTAATACATGCTATGCCAGTGTCTATGTGCTATCCTTTGTTTGCTCGCGTCTCATTCCATGAGTCACAACTAAAGTGTTAATTTCAGTATTCCAGTCCAGTCCAGGTATTCAAACTTACTATTTTTGCTACTGATGTATAAGAAGTCTTTTTAATTATTTTTCTTTGATTTGTTTTCTTGTCTTTTGATAGGTTTTCAATCTTGGTACTAGAAAATGCCTTCATATGGAGAACAAAAAGCTTTCATTCAAAGTCTGTGATCTTAGCCAAGAGGTAAAAAAAACACTAATTGTATTTTCCACAGCGTACAAAGTGCTTTTGGTTTTCTAAGCAATTTTTCAGGCTGCAATTAATTTTTAAATATAGTTATTTGATGGATTGCTGAATTGTGTGAGGCCTATCATCTGTAACCCTGTTAAATTCTGCTCAAGTAAATACTCTGTAATAGATGAGATAGATCATGTCCCTCAAAAGCTTAACAGTGCTAGGGTATTTGTGAACTGACAGATTCATGACGGCAAATTTGTAAATTTGCAAGTTTAATCCGGCCTCCTGTTAAAGCCATTTTTAAACACAGTTCTGTTCTAGTTTTCTAAATGAAGCATTTCATTCAACATTGCTTTAAACCTTATATTAATATTAGGAGATTCTAATTCCATCAAATGGAAAAGGCGAATATTCAATAAAACTCTTAAGAAAAATTTTGCACGATTATATTTATAGTATTGCAATTTAATTACTGACAGAAAGCTGAGCTGTCATTTCAGAAAGTATTTAAAAGCAGCTTGAAAAAGATGTAAGGTATTTCAGAAAATCAGATTAATTTCCATAAAAGGCAACATTCTTAAAAAGCATGATTATTCTTAAAAGCAAATTGTTGTAAGCATTAAAATATCCCACAACGTGCACATGAAATGCACATGGAGTTTAATTATTGAACATTGTATGCAAGGTGAATAGAAAATAGTTATGCAAAATTAACATCTGCAGTGTCGTTTCTTTAGAGCCAGCATTTCAATCACACTTGGTTGAGAAACATCAGACAGCAAAATCTTTGTCTTAGTGTGAAGAATGGTGGAGAAAATGTTGGCCTAGAGCAGTGTGACAATGCAAAACCTCATCTGCGCTGGCTGCATAAATCACTTGTTTTCAATCCTTCTTTGGTGAGTGAAGCTTGTGGAGTTTTTTCAGAAGTACTCTTGGTCTAGTATTTTTTTTGTAACTGCCTGTATTAACCAAATAAGAACAGTTCCAGTGATTTACTTTTTTTATTCAATTGCATGGTTTGCTTGGCAAACTTAATGTCAAAAGTTACATATTCTTTTTTTTTCCCCTGTTAGGTGGACCATCTTGTTTCAGAACATCTTCCTCAGAGCATGTGTTTAGAAGGTGATCATTCTGGAAAGAAAGTCTATTTGAATAAGTGTAATCCTGACAACCAGTTTCAGAAGTGGCACCTAACAAACTATTATGCGGAATAAGGCAGACCTCTGACCACATGAGGATTCAAAAGTCAACAATTAAGACTTGGAAATAATGAGGATGGTTTGCAGATAATCCTTTTGACAAGACCTTGATTTTATCTGGGGATAATGTTACGTGTTTTTATGGCGGTGCTTTAATTTTTTGTTTTCTTTGTATTTGTTTTCCCGTTTATTAAATTGTTTACATGCACCTCTGTGGACTAAGTTTGTCCAATCAATGTTCCTTACAGTTTTCTTCCAAAGTCACTCTTGAAGATGATCATTTGAGTTATATTCTAAGTGGTACAGGTTTCTCTAGCCTGTATCACACAGCTACATTTTGGCAAATGCATTAAGGAAACTAAAACTTTAAGATACAGTATTTGAAACTGGTATCAAAAACACTTGATGATGGGGTTTGTATTTCCTGCTTAATACTGGTCTTATATTTTAGATGGGGTAGTTAAGGATCTGTAATCCCAAAGTATATAGCAATGAATGGGAACAAAAACTAATTGCTTTGAATTTTCCTGTTTCTGTTACTCTGTTGTTACAGGTGTGTTTTCTGTAGTATTTTAGGATTACAATAATGCACTGAAAGCAGGCAATGCAGTTAACTCTTAAATTTTGTATATTATAAACATTTGTAAATCATTCCTTTTCCATGAATCAGAACCCAAATTTTTAAAACTTTCGATGTACAATAAAGATTACGATGACAGTGAAAGTAGATTGTTCTGAAAACCTATTTGAGTGTTGTTTGTTATTTAAGCAGCTTACTGAATATTTGCAAACAGTGAATTTTAAACATGGGGCATTAAGATTTTCCTAAACAGAACTGTACAGATTGATTACATTGTTATAACAATTTAATGTGTGGTAGTAAATATACACATGTTCTGGTCATGCTTCAAAAACTGGTAAATTACTTGATGTGGAAAAGCAGGAGCTGAATGGTTTTTAAATATCAGCTGCAATGTTAGTTTCTCCTTAGTCTTTTTGGAATTACAGACTTTTAAGGAGCAATTATTATGCTCAGTTTGCAGTCTGCTTCTACCATAAAATGATACAAGAAATACGTTTTCCTCGTTGCTGCCACTAGAGGTCACTTATGTCCTTAGGTAAACTTTATTCACAGGTTTAAAAAATGTTAAAGCATACTTGGAATTCAATAATCATTACTGAATGTGATGTCTTTCTGAATAGTTATTTTCTAAGTGAAGAAATATATAAATACCTTTATTTTTGGCTTTACGCTTTTTGTAATTCTTGGTGTTAATGCATTGGCTTAAAGAATTGCCTATATTTGGTTCAATGAAATACAACCTTTTCTATTTTTCATTTAATTCTGTGAAATTGGATTAAGAAACTTGACTGTGGCTGAATCCCTTTCATTTTGCTAAGTATGCATTAGTGGATGCTTTGTCATTGTATATTGATTTCTTAATCCACATACCTGTCTGTACCATGTCTGTTACTGTGTATTCATTTATAGAGTTGAGATACTTAAATAAGCATTCTGAACATTGCATTTGAACATCTACATTTAAAAACAAAGCATTTTACATTTTTGTCATTCATAATTGAGAACTAATAAACAAGTAATCTAAAACTCCATTACTGATGACAAAGTAAAAATCTTTATTTCTCTCAATAATGTTTTTCCACTGCAATGCAAAGTATTAATGACACAAAATCTGCAGCATGAATAAAATAATGTACATATTCAAAAGCATAAATGTATCCATTACAGAAAGCCAGCCACATGGTCTGTTGAACTTAGTTTAGGTTAAATAGAATATTTCTGTTACTGCTTGACTTCTGTGTATTTATGGCATTAAAAATGTCAGGCAGATGTGGTTGTATAAATATGACTGTTTTTTTCCAGTATCCCATGAATTGGAATATAATGTCATTTGATATTAAATATTCAATTTCTTTTAAGAAAATTCTCCAGCAATAATCGTACAGTATGTGTCTGGTATGTTTATTATTTTGTCTTTTTGCCTCTTCTGCGTAAATCAGGTAAAATATTTTTTTCTTAGTATCATTAAGGACAACTACATGGTTTTAATCAAAGGGAAGTTATTGCTATTATGTTTCAGCTAAGTATCAAACAGTTCATTGTCATGCTTAATTAGTTCCATGCAATTGTTTCTTACTAGGCATAGGCTCAATAGAAATCTAAGCTTGGTCTCTGCAATGTATCTGCATGGTCTGCAAGAGCATGGTCTGCAGGAACTCAGCCAGTCACAGTTGTTACCAAACACTAAAGGTCAGCTTGGTATTTGGGTTAACAAGTAGGATTATCGACCTCTAATTTTCTTTTTTGAATAAATTACAGATTGTAATTACCTCCTTAATAATATACTGTATATTAAATTTGTAGTGTCTATTCTATCTTTGCATCTAATCCTTTTATTAAGAATAAAGAGATTATATTTGTTAAATTTTTAAAGGTTACAAAGAGTCAATCTGAAGTGTATTCATGGAACATGCAGTTCAATTTATGGTGCTGGTCAACATAAGTTGCTGATCCAGTCGTACTATGTATCTTTGGAGGATGTGACACTGTCAACAAACAGATCTATCCAAAGTACTCGTGTTAAGACAATCAACAATTTTTACGATCCTATACTGTTGTTATTATTGGATCATTTATAGTACAGATTTTGTTACTTTCATCATGTATGAAAGAGAAGGCCTTGAGTTATTCACATTACATTCTTAATTCATTTGTAAATCCTTAAAGAAAGGACTATTTTATACCTGCATTTTCTTTCTTATTTTGATTATACCTATGTCACAAGGAGTTCTGCTTCAATCATTTTCAGTTCTGCTTAAGTTATTAACTATTGTTGCTGTTCTAATCATGAGTATATACTTCATATACTTGACTTCCAGATTTATGCACAATGGTTTACTTCTCCTATGCATTTCCACTTTCATTTATTGCTTTTAAGAAGTTCATTCAAAACATTAGCAACAGCAGATAATATCACACCATGAACCATGTCATTATCACATACACAATATGAACATGGAATGATATAACTAACCCTCTACCTAACGGCTAATTGTCAATCCTTTAACAGCTTCTGTGGGACAAATCTGAATACAATCTAGTGTATTTCTGGACTAAAAATTAATATTCCAGTAGTTATTTTGCACTATAACTGCATGCCAGGTTGTAATATGAATGATAACATTCTATTATTCTATTATGTTTTCAAGTATAATAATATTGTTTTATCCCACCTCTTAGCTGCTAGTAAAGGTTTCTCCACCCCCCGAATTTTGTTTTACATTTAGATGTGCATCATCGACTCAAACTCATCGATTCTTTGTTTGGTGTTTCCTTTTCTGATTTTGCGATAGGACACTGTGTTGTACTTGGAATAGCTGTGCCTGTTAATGTCAGGCTTCTTCCCACTACTGGGTATTTCACCTGAAGCCTGTGCACTGGCGACAGGGCTCTGCGAGCCATTTTCCTGCTGCGTCTCATCCCCGGACTCCACGCCGTTTTCATCTTGGATCTCGTTCAGGAGCTCCTCGTTCTCGCTGCTATCTGGCTCTTCGGAGTTCTCTACCTCGGGTGCCACAAAGGCGGCCTCTGTGTCCTGCGGCGACAGCTCGGGCTCCACCAAAGCAGCGCCATTTTCCTGGCATTCCTCTTTGTTCGGGGTGAGAGGCACCGCCAGCGCCCTCTCGGGCACGAAGACTGCAGTGGACAGTGTTCAAAATGACGGGTTAGGTTACAATTAATTCAAACAACGTATGAACGTATGCAAATTACTACATCATGGATGGAACTGCATTGGTGATAATGTATCATCATCGTTTTTAAACGTTTTATTTAACGATGAAAGGATTTACAAATACAACATATATGTAAAATAATTTACTGCTTTCATCTTTCATTTTATGATTCTATTATGTTTTTATATAATTACCTATTTAGATTATGCCAGCATAGCTATGGAGGTTTCATACAGAAATATGGTCAGACAAAACACAACAACCTCCCAACAATCTAGATAAAAGTCTGCATCATCCTCTTTCACAGAATGAAGTCTCAGTGGGACCACAAACCTAGTCCAGGCTTCTTAGTATTTGTTCAACCTTTCTGCTTGTAACCTAAGAGGAAAATGTGATCTTTTCCATTATATAAATCACCTTTGCAACATTGATCAATTTTTCTGGTGTTCAAATGGTATGTCTAGTATGTATCACTTTTTTAAGATTTACGTACCGAAAATATTATTGTGGAAATTTGTTTTGAAACAAAGAGCTTGTTGCTCTGGCACTTAGGTATCTTAGAGACAAATGGAGCCTTCTGTCTATGAACACTTCTCAAATGGCTAAACCTTTTAGCCATGAGAAAATGGAAGAACCTCACTCTCTGTCCGCATTTTGCAAGATAATGGACATTACCTAAAAATACATTACACCGTACACATCATACTTCACTTCAGGTCTAAATGGATCTGATCTAAATGGTATCCAGTTTTCTTGACATTTCCATTTCATTTGGTAAATATGCTGGGCTTCATTCACAAAGTAGATTCTCCAGACAAACATTTCTAAGTTCTTTGTCACAAAGATGGCTGACATTATGTCCCACAAACCTGCTCTAAAGGAATAAAGAAAACTGACCTGAAAAATTGAAAATATTCATGTCCTTTATAGTAAAGCCACTGGTCTGATTAACAAATGTTAATTTATGTGTTTGAGGGGTTGGATCAGGGATATGCATCTTACAATGCATAATTACAGTTTAACCAAATGGAAGAACGTAAGCTTTAATAAGACTATTTCTGAATACCCTTTCTTGACATCCTTGCTTTAATTTGACAAATAAATGGCAGTCAGTTACCTTCCACCTGCAGTTTTTCAGTTGTTGCAGACGTAACAGGCTCAGGGCCTGAAGTCTCTTCCAGTGCTGCAGCATAAACAACTTGAATAGTCTCAGAAATGGCCAATTAAAAACAAGGACGTTAACAATATAAAATCACCATTTTACGCACACTCAAGCTTAAAATTTGTCACAAGGATTAATACAAAACAATGTAGAACTCTGATTTACAGTAGGTACCTGATAAATGATTTTAAAGAACCAAATTCTTTGTGTTTTTTTACTCACTAAAGCTTATATAGTCACAAGAAAGAGACATGAAACCATCACAGGAAAAAAAAACTATTATCTTCTGTTTCTGTTTTTGAGTTTTTTATAAATGTAAAGTTAAAATGATCCCTTACCTTCTTCTGAATTGTCCTCAGAGCTTTGCTGTGTTTGGGATTCAAAAAGAGAGCTTTCCTCATCAGTTTTCTTTTCTTCCTGATCTACAGAAAGTGTTTCCCTGACACTTCTGTCTGCTTCACTTGCACTTACATCCAGTGTGGTAATTGCTGTGTTTGTTTCATTGCTGAAAACAGATGTTGCGTCATGACCAAGTCCCTTTGTGTCAGGTACTGGTTCATCAGTGGTGTTGCTGGCATCATTGACAGCCTCCGTTTCTACTGGATCTTCTGCTGGTGTCTCAGTCTGGGCATCTGGGTCTGATGGAGTAAGTACCTCATGGGACCCACCAGTGTCAATAGCAGAGCCATCGGCTTCAGTGAAGGGTTTGCCGACATCAACTTTGGCTTCTGGAACAATCACATCAGCGTCGAAATCGGGTTTGATAGTATTCATGTCATTTCCAAGGGCATGCTTGTTTTCACTTTCTTGAGCATCAGAGTCAGATGGGCCTGTATTGCCAACAGTCTCAGATGCAACAATATGAGCCTCTTCAAGCATGTCAGTTACCACAGCTCCAGCAATCTCAAGTTCAGTGATGGTACTGCTATCCCCACAACCGGCAATGATTTCAACCACTTGCGAGTGGACTTCTGTAATTGTATTCCTTTCCACATCCATCAATGTGGCGAAATCAGCTTCTTCAGCCATTTCCGTAGTTCCTTCCCCGTGCAAACACCCCTAGGTCAATATTATAATCTCTTCTCTTCGATATTATAATCTCAATATTTTAATGCTTAAATGCGTATGCAAAAAACAACAACAATTTCACTTGATTTTGTCTATTGTGTCCTGAGGAATTTTCCAGCCTGTTTGTATCTAGACAAGGACTTGATTGGTAGAAAGTCAATGTGCCCCTGCCCTGCCAAAAGCCCTTCGATCCAGCTGTCCAATCAAAAAACGTTTAATTGCTTACAATTATCCAGTTAGATAATAAGAGAAGGCACCATCTTGCATTTTAATAAATGAATAATGTGAGGCAGTCAGGCTTTTGTGCTGGTGCGCGATGTAATTCTTTAAGCATGTTGGGGCAATGATGAACAAAGGTTTTGTGTTGTGTCAATAAATAGCTCTTTGTCCATTTTCTTCAACAAATGAAGTGATTGTCCTAAATCTTTAATCCTTCCTGAGTGACCACCTTCTCTCTTACCCATTTTTTGCTGCTAGATTAACATTCCCAAACAGTTTTAGTGATCATGCTTGCGTAAAGTACTGTAAGCGGGTCACGTACTCTAAATTCTCACAGAACCTTTTCTCCAATATACACAAGGTTATACATATACAGTAACTGTATTTTAGGTAATAACCCTTAAAATAACTTACTGTTTATTACGTAATATTAGTGCCTGGAAAAGGATAACATCTTCTAAGATTTCATGAAAAAATACATGCTAAAAAGAAAACACAAAATTCTCAAAATTATATTTGAGTTATGGAATTTTAATTTAGCTGACAGTGTATAGACTTTTATCAAATACAAGTATTAACTGGCTTTGTTCAAAGTTAATCTTCTGTTGTTTTAGTATGTGTTCACATACTTCATATTTTGTATATTGAATTTTGTACCATTGTATGTAATTATTCAAAATATTTTTTTTTAAATCTGGCTCTTTAAGATAATTAAGGGCTTAGTTGAAGGCAGCAATACCATTTTTCATTGTTCCTTATTATAAAAAAAATATTGAGAATGAGATCTATGCAAATTTGAAATAACTCTTTGTTTTTAAAATAGCTTATAGGTTCTGTAAGACTGAAATGATTCCATCTATGGCTCACTTCTGCACTGATCTTTAAACTCCATACTGTACATTTTTACATGTGAAAGCATTGTAAAACACTGTATTTAAATTATTAAACTGCATTTGACCCTGAGTACCTATCACTACACTATAGTATAAAGGGATGCTCATAAACATAAACAAGTCAACTTACTCAAGAATAAACAATCTCAGCACCACATAGGTACAGACGTCTAGTTAGTTTGCTAATGTATTATGAGAGATTAAACACAGACCTCAGCTCTTTTGGGATGGAAGAAATCAATTGGAGGGCTGGCTAAATACCAAAAGTGTAGTCAGAGAATATGCTCTGTTGGTTTCTGTCAAATGCCCTAAGTAACCAAGGAGATGAAATGAAGAAGATAACTGAGTTCCAAAAACAGCCAGAGAGAGGAAGTATGTGCCTGGTCTGACTTCAGCACCATTTTTATCAACCTCTCTTCAGTATATAAATAAACTCTTACACAGTGAAAAATGAAAAAGAGATATAGATGTTTTTTTTCAAATGCTGTCAGCATGAAAAAAAATACATTTGCTCTATCGTCATAGCATGGGTTTGAGTAATACTGGACGTTACCTAAAAAACATTCTGTTTTCACAGTTTGTTATTTTTTCTTGGCACAAGCCTGTTTTTTATTTTCAATGAAAGAAGCAAACTAGTGGACCTTATAAGCTTTGACGCTACACCATCTGAGCCTTGCAGCAGTTTGTGAAATTGCTTTGTTTACTACAGGTTTCACAAAATGTATGACTGAAAGTTTCCATTTCAGTGAAAAAAATACAAATGTCACCTTCTTTACTAATGTATTTTTCTTTTATTCTAAAAGCTGTCATAGAATTGAACTGTGTAACCTCCATTTCTTTGTGTGTGTCTTCTCAAAACTACGGACGTTAAAGAAATCCACCTTAAGTAGATGACCATTAAGTGTTCTATTTATCTAATAAATAGTTAGGTTCTGTCAAACTTATTTTTTGTCAATTAGCACATCTTTTAAAACATAAGATCTTGTGCGTCTTACCAGTTAAACCATTCTGAAAAATGTTCCTATTGCACAAGACTTTCTTTATTTAACAAACACTATTGTGTGGTGTTGTGGTTTCAGACAGCATAGCACTACATGATTCTTTAATGAACAAGGGCGTTACAGTGTCTTAGTTCTGTTTCCACTGAATTATCAGTTAAAACCTTTTTATAGTTAGGAGAAAAAAGTGCTTGGTCATGTTCTGGTTATTATGACACGAATAAGACAATAAAGTTCATGTTCAAATGACAAAAAATATAGCAATATAGCATTAAATTATGATATTTGTAAATGCCACTATCCTCAAATATCTTTAAATATCTGAGTCAGTGCTAAAAGGGGTTAAAAAAACCTTGGTCCAATTTTCATTTTTTCCTTTGGCTTACATACATAATCACCAAACAAGGATACAGATCATGAATACAGATCATGGGGTATTCCTTGACAATGTACCATATACCTGCCCTTTATTAACATGTTATAAAGCCACATCTGACTAAAATACATTGAAGTCTGTTAAATGCTTTTGTCATCTGAACAAAACTAGTCCTTTTTCAGGAAGAGTTTTCTAGCTACCTTACACTCCTTTTCCAAATACTACAGGAAGGAACATATGGCTCCAGCAATGCAGTGCAATGACCTATAGTGGAGTTAAAAAATTAAATCGTGAAGTCTTTGATTTCTTAAGTAGAACTAGTGAACACGTTGGATTTCAAAGATATAGTAGTGAACTCCCTCTCTGCTTAGTTGTAGAGCATTCATAATTGTAGCACTCTTATCATAATTTATGCTAGACTAGCCCACTGTGGGGGACACTTATTACTTCTGGTGGTATATGCACTCAAAGAGGATAGCAATGACCTGGAGAAAGACGCATTTTACGATCAGATGACATCCAGTCAGTACAGTCAAAGTGAGCCCCGGACCTAGGACAGCTGGCTACGAAAATATAATTGGATCTTTTGGCTCTTGGAAGACGAACAACACTTCCCACCATCTACTCTCGTTTCGCTCTTCCGAAGGTCTGTTGGTAACGGGCTCATGGTTCCAGAGGTACGACATTCACCAGTTCACATGGGTTTCCAATGATGGAAAGACAAAGAATGAACTGGATCATATTTTAACATGCCAGCTCAGTATTGTCAAAACCTATCGTGTGTACCGAGGAGCAGAGGCACCTGCAAATACAGACCATCACCTACTGGTTGCCGACATATTGGATTCTTTTTGCCCTGTTCATAAACATAAGGCACAGCCGGCATTCAACATCCAGATTCTATTAGATGATTCCACCAAGGCGCACAAGTATAATGATGCCATCGAGAACAAGTTTTTGACATTAGGTGACCTACCAGACGACATAGAGGCAGCGTGGTTCCCAAAAGCCAAGCCACCTGTAATATGGCCAAGGATACTGTCGGCTACAGAAAGACCTGCAGACAACCTTGGCTATCTGATGATGCCATGGATACACTGGACACAAAAGCTGGACACATCTAAATGGTAAAAGGGAGGAATGTAAGCAACTGCAAGGCATTTTCAGGACAAAAGCAAAGCACGACAGGGAAATCTACTACCAGTCACTGGCCAGTGAGGCTGAGGAAGGCCTGAAACATAACAACTTAAAAGTAGCCTACAAGATCATGAATAAGATACAGGGATTACCCAGTAATCATAGAAGTGTCCCAGTTCTAAAGGCCAATGGCACAGCTTGTTCTAGCCAGGCAGAGATTCTCCAGAGGTGGCGCAAGCATTTTTCCAGGGCGTTGAACCAACCCCCAGCTGCACCATGCGTGAACCTTGATAACTTCTCTATCGCTGCCACGGATGATCCATCCATGTCTACAGACGCCCCGAGCCTGGCCGCAGTCTGCATCGTGGTCTACAAGCTGTGTTACGGTCAAACCCCAGGCCAGACAGTATCCCGCCAGAATCTTTGAGGTGTGCAGTGGAGCCAGTCAGCATCGCCCTTTATGAATGCTTTCTTCGGGTATGGTCATATGAGCAGATTCCGGCGGAATGGAAGGACAACATCATCCTTGCACTGTTTAAAGGCAAAGGACCAAAAATTGAGTGCACCAGCTATACACCAATCATGCTGCTCTTGGTCCCGGTTGGGTTTCACAGCAGACTGTTCAACAATGGATGCCATCCTTGTCCTCAGGCTTTTGTCTGAGAATCATAGAGAGTTTAACCGCCCGCTCCAGATTGCCTTTGTTGAATTGAAAGCGGTTTTCGACTCGGTTGATCGTCAGGTTCTGTGGAAGGCCTGGAGGGGGATTGGGGTTTCTGGCCCTTCTTTAAAACCTCATCAAGAACCTCCACGAGGGTACCACTGCCAAAGACTGGCTGCCCTTGCTATAAGATCCTTACAGAGGTTGTGGCGCAAGCAGAAGGTCCAGGTCAGCACTAAAATCAGTCTACTAAACCTCTGTTCTGCCAATTCTGCTTTATGGTTCGGAATCCTGGACCCTACTATCACGCAACATACAAATGCTCCAGTCCTTCCACATGCGGTGCCAACTCCAGATTCTCTGGATTTGCTGGCTTGACTAATGCGCAACTTGGATGTTGCCACTCACACGGGTCTGGAGCCCATCACAAACACTGTTGCACGTCACCGACTCGCTCTCTTCAGCCATGTCACACTTCTCAACAATTCCACCCCTGCCGATGGAGCCATGGAGTGCACTGTTGCCTTCCGAACAGAGAGACACACTCCACCAGGCTGGAGGAGGCCGCCGGGCTGCCCACATCGTAAATGGGTCCAGCAGGTCGGTGATGGTTGCCCATCCACTATACTGAAGGAATGGAACCATGCCACCGGACATGGCCATACAAGATTGGCACTGTGGACCTCTGTTGTCCAGGCATTGTGATGATGATATCTTAATGTGGACAAAGACTGAGCAAACTTTTAAGACTAAGCAAAAACCTAGTTGACAAGTATAGAGTGGTCTATGCAGCTAGAAAAAAACTAAATACTACTAGTAAGATGGAGCAAATCAAGGACCTGTGTACAGAAGCCCCATTTTCTATTGGAAATACAGAATTGGTAACAACTGTGGTCTGTAACCTACTGGCATTTCCAGTTTCCCCTTTAGCCAGGAACACACACAGAGCACCTTCAGCCTGAGCCTTGACTCCATCTACCAAAGAGTTCCCACCTCCGTTCTCAATGAAGCGCTGGTGCCCTAGAGACCCAGCTAACGGGAGGGAGCTAAGCCTTATCTGTAAACTTTTCAAAACCGGAACCAACATGTACGCAAAAAGCATTACCACTGACCTGCTTCTGAGATGAAACTAAACTAACCTAACCGGAGCCTGTCTCACCACGAGGCTGATCCCAACCAGACACACTAATCCCCTCGCTCCCTGAGTCTTCAGTGGTCTGATCTCACTGCCAGATAAGATGGCTATATATTGCATGATAAACCTACAGTATTCATAAAGAAACCTAGTGACAATCATCTGTATCCAATTCCTTGTGCATCCTCATACTAATGCCTTTATTTTCTCTCTCTGGAGTGCTGCTAAGCCAGCCTCTAGTGACTTTATCTGACACTGAAATGGGCAGATCAATCTCCTCTCAAGCTACAGATGGGAAACACTGAGCTTTAAGAATCCACTTAGAAGATGGACATACAGTGAGACATATTTTTTGTCATCTGGACAATGAGGAATATTAGACAAACAGACTGTTAGGATCTATAGTTAAATGTGCAAATTTTAAGTCAAATGATCTTATGTTAAAATTGTACCATATATTAATAAGACCACATTGCAAAAAATTGTTGTTATTTTTAAATGAATGTACAAAAGTACAGGCTAAAAGAACTGTTTACCAGGGAACACTATAGGGCAACATGTTGCTATTATTTGAAAATCTGAAAGGAATTGACAAAATTAGAATTAAACATCTAGAGAATCAACAGTGAAACACAAACCAGAGGAGAAGTGTAAAGCAAGGGGAAGTGCACTTAAAACTGAGAAAAGGAAGCATAATTTTGCACAAATAATCATGGAAGTCTGGAACAAACTACTTAGCCATGTAGCTTCATGTTGTTGATACCCTTCATTCTTTCATGTTCTTCTACATTACTTGTATGTTCTAACTCCTTCATTTTGCTCAAATAACATTATTTATCTTCTCTTTTTCCACTGTTTATGCCTGAGATTGAAGAACTAGTGTGTTACTCAGCAACTGTATGACTTTTTAAAGGGGATTTTGGAGTCCATAAAGCTCAGGTGAGAAGCAGAACAATGGATTCTATGCCCCAGAAGGATCACTTCTCAGTATGTGAATATATGCTCTATTTTAGAGAAATGGCAGATGAAATCAAGTTGTCTATAGGCAGCGTTTATGTATTAGCTTTCATTTTATGGCCGCTCTAAGTACCTCCAAAAACCAAGCATCTGAAATTGTTTCACTCCAAACAAAGAGAATATCGGAGTCCTGTTGATGCTAGTCACATATGCACTATTTGATTTAGCTGATGTTAGACCATCAGGCTATGCTGTTTGTGATTTGAAATTTCCAAATGAACTGGCCTGTCATTTCTTTGGTGGGGGAGGCCTTCTGTGAAAGTCTAATGAAGCATTCTGATGCCAAGGCGGCAATAACACAATGAACTAATGAGGGTCAACTAGGGGGTGCAAATAAGCCCTTGCGTATCACAAGAATTACATGTGATTCACAAGCTTTGTACACATGACATCTGTGTTTTAAATGATTACATAAGTATTGCTCTACTGGACTGCCTTGTTCAGTGTATCTCTTCAATTGTATTTGTTTTACAAATCACATCTGAGGTGACTCATATTCACATTTATCCACGGGTTGCAAGTTCTTGATCTACAACAGGAGGCAAATCAGTATGTTGGTGCAGTTCCTTTGCATCTATATTCCTGCATCTTATTTAAAAAAATCTGGCTTTGCTCTCAGCAGAACTTTCACTGCAGATGTGAAAAAGGAACACACTCACACACCCATCCTGTATTTTGAAAATGATGGGTGTTTCTATAAGAAAAGTAATGGTAAAAATGGGCAGAGGCAGTTCATTTTCTGATGGAAAGAATACTGTAACATGCTGCTGATTGCTAAACACAACACATCTGTGGTCCAGAGTTCAGTGTGAAAAACATAACTATTTTATGCTTTCTATATTTTTCTGCGGTAAAAAAAATAAAAAAAATGTTTATATATATATAGATATATATTACTTTATTCATAATACCTTACCTGTATTTAAAATACATTTAGTACATATGCTTATGTTATTACATTTTTGTCCTCTAAAATCCAGTAGGTGCTAGGGTACGAGTATTTGAATGTCTCAGTGTCAGTGAGTTAATATTAACAAATCATATCCCCATCTACAGCACAAAATGTATTTCACAGGTCAGCAAGATTTCAGTCATTTTTATGTTTCTTGTGTTGCACCTGATTTGAGGTCTCTTACTGTAAGACACAAAGAAAAAGTTTATGATTTGTTCTATAGTGACTCAAAGAGTAAATACTCATTCGTTCCCTACAGTATATATATTTCAAATAATATAGTGTAGGGACATTTTTCTCAGTTTTGCAGTGCTCTACATATTAGGAAACATACTGGAACGCTTAATATAAAAAGTGGGTCATACCAAAATGATGAAAGACTGGATAGTCTTGGTCATTAACTACATTAAAAAGGTTGACTATTAAAGATTTTAACTTCACAAATTAGCATAAACATCTAAATGCTTATACAGTATGTTTCATGAGTTCTGCTGAACCACAAGCCAGTAAGCTTAAGCTTTACAAAGGAAATCCGCACTCATTAACCGTTTACTGTTTCCTGCTAAACAGATACAGAACAGATGACTGATTTAGTTTCTAACTCACTCATTGACCTATCTCCTGACCAGAGATAAGTGTGTGTTTGAGCATTTTCATTCACAATATGGCCTTATACTCTTTACTATATTCTTGTGGAATGCCATGTTTTTTGTTTTTTTGTTGGAAAAATTGCCAAACTCATTCACTTTACTGTACCAGACACTGAATTATATTTCTTAAAACTGCTGTAACGTTCACACCTGCAAACAAACCTCTGACACAAAGCAATATGGGGATCTACAGTATTTTCCCCTCATAAGTATCTATAGTCAAGGTACATAATCAGTTACTAGCACACTAACTGATTACAGTCTCCACTAAAACAACCACAAATTAAATGTTAAAATAAGTACCAACAGTTTCCAAACATACTGTATATCTGACTCTCTTGTAACAGGAAATAATTCCATATCTTGCATCTCTAACACTTACAAATTCTCATGTTCTTTAGTTATTTTAGCACTTCAATTTCCCCTTTCAAGTGCTTGCCATTCCCTGTATGAATACCAGGGAATGAAAAAGATAAAACTGTTCTTATACAGTATTTATTAAACAAGTTTGAAGAAATACATGTTTCCAGCTAAAATCAATTTCCATTCCATTTCCAGTTTTGTGAATAGTTATGTGTCGTATAATGTAAATAAAGACAATTATCATTTGTCTGTATTATATTATTTACTTTTTAATTACATGGTCACAGACATAATGTGCAAATAATTTTGTCCTCTGTTATTGTGCACGATTTTTTGTGGCATTTGAATATATTTTATAGTTATTGTGTAAAAACATAAGATGTGTGCTGCAGAAAGGCAGAGGTAGATACCAACAAGCAACTGAAAATTAAATTCACAACAAGCAAAAAAAGTTAATATCATATTTACTTGTATATATATAAAAAGAAACATTCACTGATAGGTTTGTGCAAACTATACAAATATAACACAAGAGAAACAAGAAACATTCTAGTAACATACTGTTTGAAGATGAAAGAAAGCACATGTTAGTTTAGGAAAAAGGTGAAAAAAAAAAAGTTGTCAAGCACGTTCGTGCACCCACATCCTGTTTTTAATCATTTCACAGACTGTGTGGTTCAGTACTCAGATAATCTTCTGCAGAGGTATAGCCCTCAGAGCAATTACTCGGTACTAGATCGCAGCTATCCTCACACGAGTACCCGGACTGGCTTCAAAATAAGCATGAACGGGGAATGGTGTGCCACACAAAAGAGTCGCTGTGCAACTCTTGCTGACCCTTAAATTTAATCAGGTTAGGGACATAAGAAAGGTTACAAACAAGAGGGGGCCCTATGGCCTGTCTAGCTCATTTGGTTGCAAGAAGTTATTTGAGCCAAGGATCTCATCCAGGCATTTCTAGAAATGAGCTACAGTATCACATTCAACAGCAAAACTGGGTTACTTTTTCCACACTCCCACAATGCTGGGTATAAAAACTGCTTCTAGTCTCCTGTTTTATATACTTTTCATTTCCAGTGTCTGTAATATATGACACTGTATATTTCTGAAATATATATTTTAATACAAAATATATGAAAACCTGATTAGGTTTAATGACTATATATATATATGTATTTCATTTGATACCTCATTTTAGAATTCTTATGTATTACTCAGCATTCTTATGGCAAGCTAAAATTCACTTTGTTATTTACAACACTTAAAATTCAGTGCTAGACTTCCTTATTTTTCCTAAAAATGCAAAAAATATTCTGTTTTTATCCACAGGAATGAAATTGTAAACTACCACATAACACAATAACTTTTTCAAATTACATAATGTTTAAACACAGCAGTTCAATAAGAATAACAAAGTATGCAGTACAAAAATATATAAGCATTCTATTGTTTGTATTACTCCATACCCATTAGTTTTTTTTAGAGGAGGGATGTTTCACTTCAGTTTATTCCCTTAAATTACACATGTAATACTGATTGCTAAAGTAAGAAGAATTTCGGATGTTTAATATTACTATTCACTATGTCTTATACGACCTTTTTATTCTGTTTCTCAATTCCCAGTCTGAGTGATTTCTTATATTTATTATCACAGAGTGTATTTTTCATGTCACTTGCAATGTAAATCATTTTATAAAGTTATTCATTCATGAATTTTTCTAATCAATCTTTGGGACTCACAGTTCTAATATAGTTGTGTAATGTGTTGTGATAAATAAGTAAAAAAGGCATGAAGAACACCCTGCTGAAGACTAGTTATTATTTGAAAGAAGGTATGTTTGTATTTAAAGGAAATGCTACATCTTCTGTACACTGAACTCTACTCCTTTTGAATTCCTTTACTGTGTCTTTTTACCTGCATTTCTGATTTCCAGGCCCTCACTATTCTCAAAGAGAACCCAACACTTTTTTGTTACTAGGAAAAGCTATGGTGCATTTGGAGTTTATTTCAGCTATGGTGTTTCCAACACGTAATAACCACCTGTACTGTATTTTTTACAGCATGTTTAAGATGCCATGTTAATGCTTTTGTCAGTAATGCTCTTGTGCTGCTACTCTTTAAAAGTAATACAATATTAATTTACAAACATCTATTCTATGTTGATTGATGGATCTCTTCTTCCACAACTGGGCGGTTCAGACCTGGGATAAATTTCATAAATCGTTTCCGGACACTCCCCTGTTTTTTTCTCGGTAGTGTCCCAAATAGACTGGAGCTTCCTGTCACATCCCAGGAAGGAGAGATAGACCCACTGCTGGCCAGGCTGATGCTCCTGGTTCTGTTCACGGAGGCCTTCAACCCTACTGTGCTGCAGTCTCTTGAGAAGAAACACTCGTCATCCATGCTAACCCGTCTATAGGGACTCATGGGATTTGAGTCCTCAAACACACTGGCCTGGTAGAAGGTGTCTTCGCTGTCTTCTGTTGTGATACTCAGTTGGCTCTTACAGCTGCTGCCACTGGAGAATCTGTACTTGCACCGCAACATGGGTGAGAAGGCAAGACTGTCGGCCCCAGGAGACATGGGAGACATTGGAGAGTCAAGGGAGCTGTGAGGGCTACATTCATTCAAATTACCTGGAGGTATAAGACAGTACAAGAGTCAGTACCCCAATGTGCACTTCAAAATGTATATCTTCAATCTCTAGCTTCTTAAAAAATTGAGACGAACACTATTTAAACTTTATATCTTCTAACCATTATTGGTAAGTATGCTGTATCTTTGCGTCATTCAGTCTGATCACTTATGATTTCCAGAGCCTTTGCAGTTCTTACCTGCAAACTGGGTCATTCTGAATTTCAGCTTTCAGTAAGAATGCACATCATGAACACAAAATATGTAGGCTTTTTTAATGTATACACTGACACCTAGTTTGAAAATGGCAGAAAAGTAACGCTGTGGTTTCTCAAGAGGAAAAAAAAAACCCATACCATGAGCTAGGCGCTGTTCCTGTAATAGAAGAGATTGGAGCTCCACCCATTTCTCTCTTAGAGTTTTCTGTGGGAAATAAGATTGCAGCATAAATGCCTTTCTTAAACTGCAAGCCTAGCAATGCTTTAATAATCAAATCACCTCATTTCTCAGAACAGCCACCAGAACAGGAATTACATTGTTAATACAGTATTAAACACATTCATTGTAACATCAAGCAGGTAATCCCCTTTCAGACATACTTTGTGAAAGTCATGACCAAGTCAAATAGATTGCTTCATATTTTATAATGCATTCATGCTCATTTTTTCTCAACTTTAATCAACATGCACAAAGCTGAAATGGCAAGTAAATGCCATCAATGGAATAAGGTCAATATTTAAACAAATTTCTTTAAAGACTAACTTAATGACGTTTCTAAAAAAAAAAACGGAACAATAGATGTGAACCACACAAAATTATTGACATAATGACACTAGAGAAAAGTATCAGATGTTTAGGAAAAGCTTTTTGTTTATAATGCACTACAGAACTGAAATTACTTTTACTATAATACAGGTATGTGAGATTCTCGGACGCAAGACAAAAGCCTATATGTTTATGCACACTTGCTAAATGTACTGTATATTCAGCTATTATAGTTTTCTAGTCTAAAATGAATTTCAAACATTAAAAAAACAAGAAGACAGACACCTTGAGGAACTTCAGCTTTGTTTCAAGCTCAATCCTTTTCACAGCTGTTCCATTTATCGTCTCCAGTCTGGAATGAAAAGACATTGCTATGAGTGAAGAGGTGTGAAACAGCAAAAACAAAAAGAACTATAACAATATTACCTTCTTCAGCTGCACAAGATAGCCAGGGTAAATCATTTCTACAGAAAATAGATTGGGCATTTCTATAATTTGAGTTTGAAATAACAGCAAGTTCTGCTGATGTATACATTTTCAAATATTTAAAAAAGCATGTAATAATACTTCATTATTATTAAGGGCACAGGGCACTGTTCAATGGCAAATGACATATGCAAGTACATGTAGTACTGAACCTGTGAACCTATTTTCCAGACAACGCAGTGCTGTGTATTTAAAAATCACAATCTTCCTTGAAGGAACTTCAGAAATATATTTATTGACAGCCACCCTGTTTTTTTCTTGAAATATATATTGGTTATATTTATAAAACATTATATAAACCGACCAGCTTCTTCAAGTTTGTTTTTTCTTTTTAGTTTCGGGTCATAGTTTTAAGGTTTCACTGTTTTGGTGGTATCAGATACCTAGAAATATCAGGACTTCAACATCTGTGATGAACTTCTGTTGCCTTCTTAGACTTCTTAGCCTTTAGACTAAGACCTTTATACTTTAGACTGTTTTATATCTGGTTATACTTTTTGTACATTGTATTGGATCACATTTTTAAATTTTTTGGGACTTTCTAGACCATAGTATTTCAAAATATTTTGTACGTTGTTATTGCCATTATATTTTGTGGTATAATTCTATTAACCTGTTTCTTTGCTTTATCCCACTCTACATTACATATTTTGCACTGGCAGTATTTTATAGATAATGCATGAGCTACAAAATACGAATTTGATCTTTCTTGTCACTGCTCAGTTGCAAGTGTGCGCAGAGAAGTCTAAGTGAAAGTACTGATCTCCCACTAAGCAGGAAATCACATCACAGAACTGTGCTGAACAAGAGCACAGAGTATCTAACAGCTGTTAGGTGAAAACAAAGAGCAAAGAACTTCACAGCAATTAAGTTTTGTGTTAAGTAAATCTTTAAACACAGTGTGAGTGCAGGTATCTCAGTTCTTTTATAAACAATAACATCATTTTTTCAGCCTCTGAAAGAGACAACAAAAATAGAACTGCAGTGTTAGGCTAGATCCTATTGATACAAACTGAGCAGATATCAGTTTAGGTGATCTGAAGTCTCTGCGCTATCTAAATAAGCACATCTGCTTACCTCTACATTGTAATGGATTGCACTGTGTTTCTGAATTGTAAATGCAGTATTTCAGAAATTCACAGATTTTGGAAATGTACTTCACATGCAAAAGGAAGCTTTTTCTTATAGTAGACTGCATCTGATTGCTTGCATTGGGGTCACTTACCTTAAACAGCTGGCTGAAGTTTTAATTAGGTCAACGATGTGCTGGTGGCTGAAACCTTCAGTGCTGATGCCATTGACGGCCACTATAACATCACCTGACACAGGAAGTAAGAGGACCGAGTTAACTGTGGCTGCAGAGCATCTTTATAAAAGGGGCTGTGTGGGCAGGCAGCTGCGTAAGAAAGTTAGTTGGAGCAACACAAGGAGAAGGGGAAGTGGTATATAGGCTTCTTACCAGGTGTTAGACCTGCATTCTCAGCAGGGCTGTCTTCTTGCACTTTACAAACAAACGTGCACATTTCCAAAGTGTTGGTATTTTGGTGTTGTAAACCATAAGTCTAAAAAAAGACAAAACTAAATGTAACATCATACGCTAATGCATATTGTAAGACTTGGGAATTGTTACAGACATTGTAAAAATAACTGTATGATTACTAACATTTCTAGACAAGTGCGAGACAGATCCCTTATGAAAATGGCCAGACGTGCTTACCTGAATTTCAAATCCGTATGTCTCATTGTCTTGCTTTTCCATTATAATGGCTGTCCTAAATAACATAAAATGAAACAGAAACTTAGATATGTTTCAGTGTATTTGTAATATGATGCTTTTATGTGAGACTACATCTACTAACTCTGATAACAACCTTCTGTGGTTTAATGTTTGATAAACTAAACAGTTCAAACCAAAAAAAATGTTTACCTTTGAGAGTCTGTATAATCCACCAAAGAGTTTGATCGTGCAACCTGAAAGGAAAACAGCATAGTATGTTTAGCTACATAGACTAAAATCTACAGTGCAGCAGTCAGCAGAAGTAAATCTCACTAAAATGTAACAAAATGTTACTTTTAGAAATATGTATTACTTTGTACAAACATGTAACATTTGATATGCTGTTTGTTGCAGATTGACAAACATTTACTGTGAAAAAATTTTATATGACTTTTATTTTATGGGTCATATAAAAGTTCATGATAGCATTTCTGCAATTCAGATTCTATCAGTTCGATTTACTTGTGACAAAACCAATACCCCTTTGATCAAACGTTTCGCAGTGCACTGTTACTATGAACTGCAATTTCTTAGTAAATATATGTTCAATATAACTCATTAATACTATGTATATATCTATATTTCACTGAAGTAAAACATTTCACAGACTTTGAAATGTAGTGTTAATACAATGTGTCAAACACTGCCTGCTTCTTAAAAGTATCTTGTACACAATTCAGTTTATTTGAAATGCTTTTAGTTGCAGATTTTGTTTTTCTTTTTGAAACTATGCTTTAAGCATAGTACTTAAAGTCAGGAAACTATGCTTAAAAATATGTATATTGCTCCCGTCTTCCCAATTCTCTTTCTTGTTCTAACTCTGCGTGCATACAGTACATTGTCCATATAGAAACAGTAAAGGTGCAATGTCATCATTCTGCAAATGAATAATTTCTTTCTTGCAGACCTCGCTTCATAAAAAGGCGGTAAGTTTGTCACTTACCTGCTTACGACCTCTTGGCAGTGTCCCTAGCGTTGCTACAACCTTCTGAAGACGTTTATTGTCTGTTTCGCTGTCGACTGTATTGTTAAAGCATGGTCCAGTTTTCCTCCTCAGATTGTTTTGCAAAATGTAATTATCATTGCTGTTTTGTCGAATTAGCCGTTTGAAATTCATGGTAAAAATTGCAATGTGTATCTCATCGCACCACGTCTGACCAGAGTTCTATGACTTGTAAACCCTGGCCAGCTTTGCATGCAGAGACAATGTGTCAAAACGGAAATCCAAACCATGTGATTCCTCTGAACGTGCTTTTGCAGATCATTAGGGTTTGCTCTGCTGTCTGAAAAAAAAAAATGTATGCAAAGTTTCCATGTTGACGTGGATAAGCTGTCTGCTTCTGTTTCTTTTTTGAAAAAGAGAGTCTTTTCTGTGTTCATCCTTTGACATTTGGTTTATGGTCTCTGAGAAAGCAGAAATGTGTAAAAATATATTTCTGCGGGTCACCCGTTCACTGCCACCTGTTTCCTCTTTTACCAAAACATAAAGAGGTAAAGCTTTCAAACCAAATGCCTGTCTTGTGAAAAAGAAAACAGACAACTGTGAGGCTGGGGGGGAGAAGAAATACTACTAATATCAATTAGATTAGAATACTGTATGAGTGTCTCTCCATCAGGTTGGTTCAGCCCATGGAACAATTGGTCAATGTAATAAAGTGTCTGTTTAATATTCTTTACAGCATAGCAAAGTTTAAACACTTTTTTTGTACTTCATTCCATGGCTAAGCAAGTCAAAGTTAGGACAGCACTGGCCCAGGTGGTTACATAAATCAGTTAAAAAGAAGAATAGGAGGAGAAAAAGTACAAGCTATACAAGATACATGCTCTGCCTGGCAGGTACTTAAAGGAAAATAAATACTTTCTCAAATATAAAAAGTATTCCTACATTTAGACCCTCTATTCAGTTTAAAATCTATAAGGTTTCAGTCCTTAAAGACCAAGTCTGATTTGCTGGAGATTTGGCTTGTAGGAAGGTTGAACTCACTCACAGCATTCTAGTCCAGAAATTGATTAGGAGAGTATAGTAATAACTAATACTCTCTATACTTTATACTGAGCTGGTCTTACAGACTGATTGACTGTCTTCTCTTACGTTGAAATATTACAATATTTGGGCATCATTCACAAGTCTGTATTTACCTCCTGCTTAAAAGGAAGAAATTCAGTACATGTACACTGGACTATAAGCTCAAATTTTCTTTTCCAAGGTCCAGCTAAAACCTGATTTATAATTGAACTGAGGGTTTAGAGATAATAACTATCTGCAGCAATTAGTCATTCTAACACACTACATCAACTAGTATATTCCTGAGTCATAACAAATGTAAGCTCTTTTTAAGAACAGCAATACAGAAGATTTTCTCCCAGACCATTTTCAAAGTATGATGTTAATAAAACAGAATTCAAAGAACATTCTAAAAGAAAAGTATTCATTTGAAAAGTTAAATTATTAACAGGTTTCCACATCATAGTTAATAACACAGAGATAGGAAAAATAATTGTCCAATTCATCTGAACAAGTCTAGTTATGATTTTTATGCATCTGTGACTTCCTTTACTGACCTATCATGAAACCACATCCCATGATGAGCTTAAGTGTTGATATTTAATATAAGGAGAGAAAATATTGCAATTTTAGCATTCTTCCTTGAAAAAAAAATTAAAACTAATTCCAAGAAGCCAATGAGAGATATTTTCCATTGTCTTGCCCTAGTTGGAAAAGAGCCAGTAACCTGTTGTTCTCTGATTAAATCCTTTTCTAGAGTCATAAATAAACGAACTGCTTAACAAGCCTTTTCTGTCCAATTGACCTCATTTGAATTGAGACATTAACCTCCTTCAAGAAGCCCTGAAGTACTCTAGTTAGGTTGCAAGCATCAAGTTAACTATACTGATCACATTTAAATCTCATATAGCATAGATTTTATACAAATCTAATAGATTCGTTCAATATTGTTCTCCAACAGGGGGATATTACAATCATTTAAAAACTTCCTATAAAAGTCATATACAGTGGATCTTCAATATTCAAGTAGTGGAGAGGAGAACACTCCAAGAGATTCAAATCCTGTGACACATTATCAAGCAAATCATACAGCTGAACTGATATTGTGGATCATCACTGCTAATCAAAACTGAGTATCTGTTCAATAGGGAACTATTACCATTGAGCAGTAATACACTTCTCATCAAATGGTTTAAGGTTGGCTTATTAGTTTATAGTGGTTTGTAACATTTTGATTTCTACAGTATATTCTATGTTTTTTTTATTTTCCCTTTTGTATTCTTATACTTCCTCATAAAGATTACTGGTACTCTTTCTTTCCAATATATTTCATTTTTCTACCCTTGGCTATATTGCTTTCCTAAGTATTTAACCACTGAAATATATAAGAACCACAAAAACCTAAGAATACAAAAACAGTTATAAATAAGAGGAGGCCTTTTAACATGTTTGATTACTTGTATACTGTATAATGTGTCTGAAGATCTAATCTACGCATCTCTTCAAAGAAGCCAGTGTATCGATTTCGACGAGATGTATGTACTGTATATTAGTCACGTGCAGAGCCCTTTGATCCTCTAGGATCCCAAGTTACTTTGACCTCATATCTCTCCAGACAATCTCAGAAGATTCCAGTGTGTCTCTCTTCTATAACACTAACCATACAGTAGGCCCCTAGAAATTCATACAGTTATATTAGGTTCTAATGGGTGGAATTTCAATCCCATCACTGGTGGCATTAAACAAATTCAACATATGAGGAGCATTGAAAGACCAAAGAAGAAATATGACCCAAAAACAGAATAAAATATATATTAGACCTTTTACTCTGGACCCTATGAAACATTGCTTGCTACTCCCCAAGGAAATAGGAAACACACTAATTTATTTAGTCTGTAGTAAATAATGGCTGTTTTAACATTATTTAACATTAAGATTATGACTTATGTTTTACCCATTAGGTCCACCACTGAAGTACATCACCCACCTGTGTGATGAATGGCGACCAATTGTGCACCACTCATCAGATGAGCTAGAGATGGACAATCTACAATCACTGGGTAGATTGTGCAGGCCTGATAAAAAATTCAGACAGGACACTAATTCAGACTTAACACAACCCTACCCTTTTGAACAGTGTAATGGGATTTTAAATACAAGGTTCGAATGCAAGTATTCTCACGCATTAGAGTGTGACCCAAAGGATGACAATTCCAACATTGCAGTGTCCCAGATCAACATACCACTACAAATGTGGGGTTGCTAAAATAGTGAATAGCAGCAATTGACCGAGCAGCTTAATCAATAACTAAAATAAATATTTATAACCCCCAACTTGTAAGGATTTCTCCAAGAATATATCCGAGCAGCAGGTATAATTAGAGGCACATGAATTCTTTGTTTTCTAGCACAGAAGTGGTGAAAACAGTAATAATTCAGGCACACTTAAACAAACAAATATCAACAATAACAATAAGAATACTACACTACACACGACATAAACATAAAACACATTGTGTACTGTACGTATATAGTTTCAGTACAAGGGGTTTCAGAGACCTACATCTAGACCACCAGGGAAAACCCAAGACTGCTACCAAGTGCTCGGGTTAATACTTAAATAATGCCTACAGAGGCCAAAATAAGAGATAAGTTGCCTTCAAAACTAAATGCAATACAATCTGCAGTTAAATCTCTCCCTCTGCAAACCCAGATGCCACAAAATAAATGGGAGCCTATCTCCCTATTCTAAAAATGCACCCAAAATCAGGAAAGGCCATTTTTAATTGGGGTATTCTTCATTCAATCCAAGTTCCTGAAAACACAGAATAGCAAGCTCGCTTTAGCAAGGTTCAAATACTTGGCTCCAATCAGGTTATTTTGGATGATCTAGAAGAAGCAACTCTTGCCTAGAACAAGCTTCTTCTCCTGTCTCCTCTCTCTCTTGTAGTGTTTTTTCTCCTGTTTTCTTTCCCTTTTGCCTTTCTCTGTCTTCACTTTATCTTAAATGGTGTCTTTCCAGACTATTGATTTATATTTAATCATTTACCCAGAACTTATTTAACCAAGGAAAACCAGAAGATTTTTGTGATCAGTGTTTCTCACACCGGGCACAACTAAGTAAACATCCCTTGGACAGAAGCTCTACGAAGTGGAAATATTGACACTAGTTTGGGATTACTCATTGTGTCGAGATTATTAGCGAGACCTCCATTGCCATCTGCCTTGGCCTGTAGCGATACTTTGGTGTTGGTATTGGAAATTCTGGTCCACCATCACAACCCACAGCAATAACCTGGTTCTCCTTTGTGTTTCTCACCAGGCCCAGCCCTGTGCAGCTTCTGAGATTCAACAAGACCTAAGATCTGCAAGATGGTAAAGCTGCTCTAAATGAACCCATAGAGTTTTAAATAATTCACACTGTGCCTCACAAAAAAACAAACAAAAAGGGAATGCTTAAAACAAAACTACTTACTGACTCATCCAGGATGAACTCTAGAAATTAGTGATAGGTCCCAAGTGCCAGGTATAGAGTCTACATCAAGGGCTACTAACAGATGGTCCTGCAGTGTTGGGATGCTTTAGGGTGGATATGGACAGGGGATTCCTCAAGTAGTACAGTATTCCTGTACAACAGTCTAAAGTCAGTGCCAGTTGTTTAGCCATTGTCCAGCTGCTCCTTAGCTTTCCTGCTTCTGTTGGAGTCACAGTGTAAAGAGAAGGACGTTGCCTGCACACAACCGAGTGTACAGTATATCATTGAATATTCTACAGCCCTGCAAGTTACAAGTGAGTTAAAAAGGAACAAGTAAGGGTTTATTCACCGCTGAAAAGAAAACAAAAGAAACACAATGTTTCATCTGTGGTTCAGGCCCCTTCACACCTGAAGAAGGTTGAAATAAACATTTTCTTGTTCCTGTGCAGCCTACGCATGCTGAAGTACAAGTAAGGTAGCTGAAAATTCTCCATGATATAAGGTTATAACCACTCAACTGTTAATAAACAAAGACTTGGAAAATTATCAGACTGCACTAATTAAGAAAATTAGTGGTCCAGTTATGTTATTCAGCTCTCTGATGGATACCAGGAGACCCTGTGGCTCCTGCTGATTTCAAATTGGTATGAACAAGCAAAGTAATTGCAGCTTCTAAATATGAGTTAAAGGAAAGTATTGTACAGTTCCTGCAGAGCTTTTTATTCGTCTTTGACTGATCTGTTACCTATTCTTTTAATGATCGCAAGTAATGGCCCTACAAATAGCTGTTGTTAATGGGAATTCATAATGGCAGTGTTCTTACGGAATTTAAATGACAAATTAGAGGTTGTTAATCCAAACAATTAAAAACCATTTATAGCATTTTATTCATATATATTAATTATACAAAATATAAAAAATTAAAAACATTTAGCAATGAAGCAAAAAACATGAAGCAATGGGTGAAATTCAGGTAATGGATATGGTAATGTGATTTTTTGAAGTCATTAAAATGGAGATACTAGGAATTAAAATTAGTTTTACAAGAGCATTTAGACATCAAAGATTTTAAACTCAGCAAATGTTACACAAACACCTAACTAACATTAAGATGGTTTCAGTTAGTTTTATGGAACCACAAGATTCTAGGACATTTCAACAAGGAGAAACAACAAAGTAACCCTGAAAAGTCAATCAGACATGATATAATCTTCCTCTCATTCAGCAGTAAGAGAAAAATATCCCATTCAGTAACTGCCAAGAAAAGGAAATGGAACTTAACAAAGGCAAATGATGAAATGGTATGAAAAATCTCAACTCTAGTAGTTTCTACATCATGTCTACAATTTAGACACCTTGAAACTGAATATTTAATAAAGCAATTCTGATAAACATTGTTACCCATTAACCCTTGTCTACCTGCTCAACCTGGATGTTGACATATGTTCACCATAGGGTGCAGTTATATCTTAGGTACGGGGAAACATTAACATTTATCATCTATTGCTTGATGAAGTGTCAGCTGAAGGAGCTGAAGGAGTCTGCAGTATAGTCATGTGTTTAAATTTGATTTCAGTAAGTGACAACGAAAGGATCACAACCTTAGGGTTAGTGGAATTGTATTTACAGCTGAGAACAGGAGGTAAAGGTATATCTTTACTCAAAGGGTTGTGGGACTATTTCTTGGGATTCAACCTCATTTCTTTAAAGAAACAGCTAGATTCGATCCTTCGGTCAATTAACTACTAATAACCAAACAGGCAAATGCTCTCTTCTCACTTGAAACTATTCTTAGTTTTTTTACATATAAATGTAGGCATGAATGCCACACAAAACTGAATTTACCAGCAATATAGTGTATAAACAGCGAGTCGAGTGTTAATATAAACGTTCACAAGTGTCTAGTGCAAACAGAAGTGAAAAGGAGTTCTTCTGTGTACACCTGATGACAGCTCCATCTTCCCCAAAAGAAGGATTTAGAATAGAAATGGACCTGTTTACTTCATGTTGAATTATTTTGTATCTCAGTGCAGTAAGGCAAATCAAAAATAGTCATTAGATTTTTGAACAACATGTTAGGGAAAGGAACAGAAAACAGTTTTTGTCAAATCCTCTTATGAGTGTTGGAAAACAAGAGAAACAATGCAATCCATTGGTAAATTGTGTGTTATGTGGATTATAATTTTAGAATGTCTAAAGGGATTAATATTGCATGCTGAGGAATAACTCATATAACTGCAAGCAATGCCAAGCCAGCTTTTTCCACGGCTCATTTTCTTGTGCAAATTATATTGCAGGTCACACACATCGATTTAGCAGTGATTACTCAAAATGAGTCATCTCTGTAGTCTTATCACCTAGGGTGAAACTAAAGACTTCTTTCTCAGTTTAACTGTCAAACTAACTTTAATTGTAAGCTTGGCAGCTGTGCATACTGATGCATTTTTTCTGAGATGGAAAATGCCATTCTGTCTTTGAACAGAAGAGAAGGTTTCTGACCTTTCAATTCATGATGCATGAATCCTGCACATTTGCAAATGCCAATACATTTACTGTTTTGCTTGCTTTTAACAAATAATGCACTGCTTTAAATTTTTACATACTGTACATGAGTTACACAGATCTACTACTGATACTTCTGCAAACTTTAATATGTCATTACATAACAGAAATTAGTTATTATACATATCATATCAGGGCACTTTAACAGTAAGACACTATAAAACCCTTTGCATAAATTAGGTTGATAAATTCTACTATATCTTTGTAATATTTTAAGAAATGTATTCAATTACTAATGACATTTGTAAACCTTTGTACAAATAATAATTCCTTAACATTATATTTCCTTTACCATCTAATGTAAAACCACTCATATTCCAAATGTTAATTCACTTAACAATGATTACGAAATATTCAAAACACAGCCCTAAATGAACATACAAAATGCAATTGTTCTGATGCAGTTACCATTCCATTTTATATCTTCAATAAAAAGGGGGCAAGGCATAAAGGCAAAATAAATTTTATTTTCTATGCTACGTGCACAAAAACATTTCATACAATAAACATGACATGAAAAATCACTACAGTGATATGCGATATCATCGTGAAACAAACTGAATTCCTCTTAGGGGGAAATTAGCATAACCGCCTGTAAGAAACATACACTTAATAAAGATCTGTTGGAAACAGTTACCTCCAAATTTCAAACTTTTTGATTTCCAGATGAGTTTCAAACTTCAATCCTGAATAGATCAATATTTAAATGTATCTGTGATAAGAAGTGGGCTCTTACAATGCGGAATCAAGAAACTGCACTGTGGAACATTGAAATTTGGTACTCGTGCAAATGTGACAAATTAGGAACCCATTGAAACTATAGTGCAAGCCAGATTGGTGCCAGATGGAGAGACATGAACACCACATGTGCCTGCGCTGGATCCATGTGTGTGAAGGCTTGTCGTGCTACTGCTAAAAGTCGTTTAGTGTCCACCATTGTAGCACATGGGAATGGACTTATGGTATTTACTGTAAGTCCTCAATACAATATACTGGGCATCAAAAGAAACTTATTACTCTATGAATGTATGTTTTAATGCCTCCATTTTGGATATTGGTTAAATGTTTTTGGCATTATTTTCATTAACTGATCATGACTGACCACTTGAGCGTGGCTGACTGCTGCATAAGCACTTAATCATCTCATTAGTGAGAGAGTTGATTGGGCACAACTGACAAGGTGATTTAACCTGTTGAGTGCCACACCAGCTGAAAATCAACAAAGAAAAACACAGAAAGCCACTTTGAGCAATACAGGTATGCTGGAGATTGGATTAAGTCAGAGCACTGTTGCTCACTGTCTGGGGTCCTTAAAGCCAACGATATCTAACTTGGCCAGATGTTATTCAGGCAAACACTGTCTGGCAATGATACGCCACGATGTAGGACATCACTAAGTGTGAAGGTCTGAGCAGGAGAGTCCAATCTCTACAGAAAACAACAGGCTGACTGATGACAACGTCACCACACAGCACTCCGTCAATCAGGTCCTGGGATTTCACTTACAGCCTGTCCTGCGGGCTCATCCTGATTTGACATCATTCTAGCAGGACAATGCATGTCATGCTTTTGGTGTAACAACAGTGGTGCCATGTATTCTCTACTCACCAGATGGAAGCTGAGCATTTGTGGAATGATCTGAAATAATGTGGAATCTAGGGATAATGCTTGTCCAGGCTCTCTAAGACGAATAGACTGAATGCTACAAAACATCTGTAACCTGGAGAAAAGCATAAGTTGCAGATGTGCAGCTTGTATTGCTTTCAGTGGTGGCCACACACATTATTAGCCTGTGACCTGCACTGCAGACCCCCTGTTGATCAGCCCCATTGATGACAAATGTTAAACAGCATAATTAATTTACCTATGTCAAAATCTGTTCCAAAGGGATTTTGCAATTTTCCAGATAAACATCCAGTGATGTTTCTTTTGATGTTCAGTGTCAATTTAATTGCTCCAAAGTATATAATTTGTGATGATATAACTACTTGAACATGCAAACTAAACATATAAGCAAAGTGTACAAGAAGTACAACATAATAAGCATCTTAGCTTGTGTATTCTAAATAATAGTCTTGTGGCAAACTACTGTATGTACAGTACACTGTACACTGTATGTAAGGAAAGCTTGTATTTTGTCTTTATTTACATTCACCACATGCCTGGAGCAAAACTATAACATTGTGGGATATGTCACCATTTTTTATCCCTATGCCACATTATACCGAACAGCATGGCATTTTACTCTTTGTTTTACATTTATCTTACCAGATGTACAACTCATTTAAAGCTGAATGTTGGTTATGTTATATATATATACTGTATTTATGTCATAGTTAGGTACTGATAACCTATGATTAATATCAAAATGTTAAGGAAATCTTTTCACAGTCTACAAAGAAAACCTGTGCATTATAGGTTTACAAATGCAAGAGTACTGTAATTAAATCAATGTGGAGTAGAATGGTGGGTGTTTATGCAGGGAAGGTTCCAGAAATAATTATTAGGGGGAGCTTATCATGTCTGTAGTGGAGTCATGTTGACTATTTTGTTTTATACCCTCTGGTGTTTGCTTTTGTAACATCTTTGAAACCACATATGTAGCTGATCCTGTGTAACAATCTTGTAAGTGTTTTATGAGAAATAATTTTAATGGATATAGATTGCCCTAGGTATCTCTGCACTCTGCACATAAGGATCCACGTTCATGAAACGACTTCTTCATAGACTTGGAGCGAAGAGAAATCACTAAGTCAGGTCAAACATTAAGGCAGGAACACTCTACAATACTATTCCATTCACCAAGAGAACATGTAGCCTAGACTACATCAAAACTAATAATAATTAATCATTCACAGGTTACAAAACTACAATAGCTCTAACCACTCACAAATGGATACATGCCAATACGTACTGTGTCAACTTTGATTGAGGGATGGGCCACCATTTTGACTGAATCTGGATATGCACGTTGTTTCAAATAATTGTATCATTCTGTGTAATTTCTAACAGTCCCAAGCTATGGGCCTCATATTCAAAACACGGTCTGATAAGCAATAAAATCCTCACAGGGGTCTGAATATAGGCTCTGTTGTGTTCAAATCCATCTGATATCAAACACAGATTTGTCTTCCCTTCTGAACTTGTTTAAATAAATTACAACAGGTAATTTACAACAGAGCGCATAGATTTTGCTTCACAAGAGCAAAACCAGAATAGAAACAGCAGATAGAGAATGAAAAACATGTTTTAACTTAATCTTACAAGGCAAAGTGACTCATAAACCTGAGTTACTGTAGCACTGGAATTCAGTGCCCCAGCCAGAAACCTCATGTTTACAATTATCTTTCTTGCACAACAAACTTTTAATCCCCAATCTTCACTTGCACAATTGTTTTGTTAGTTAGCAAGACAAACAATCCCCAAACAGAAAAGGGATAAAAGAGCCTGACACTGTGTAAGTTTCCTGAGCTGCAAGAAAGCGTAACAAAGGCAAAAGAAGAGAAAATAAAATGAATCGAATTATTTAAAGTGTTAGCAAAGATCAGAAGTTACTGTATGATGTTTAATTCCTGAACTGCATTCCCATCTCATCTAATGTTTTATTCCTGAGGATGAAAACATCCAGGAAGAAATTTTCTTCAGAATAGCAGGATAATACATTTAAGACCCATTTAATTTACCAGAACAAATCATAAATGACATAACTGCTGAAAATGTACTTGTTTGACTGGGTCTATTCCGAATTAAAATTTGATAGATTTAATATATTCATAATATCATGAAAAAGATTTAACAGCATGATATACATTTCTGCAATGTTCACAGAATTTAACTGAATTTTTACTACTGTAGCATCTAAGATATTTTTACAAATTATATATATTTTTTCTGTTTGTCTTTAAATTATACTCTTAGTTTTAGATTATTGTACTGCTAAGCATACATATCCAAGAACCAGGATTTTCTTTTTCATTGACACAATTTGTGTTTTGTAACAACAAGCCAGTGTCTGATGGCATAAAGAACGGAGTAATCGGAAATTAACTCAAAATCAGCATTTTGTATTAAATTTGACTAAATAATAAATGCACATTTATTAAGTAATAAAACAATGCTTTGGATATTGAAATACATTTAATAAACTTTTATTCTTTAATTCTGAGAAAAAATGAAGCAAGCTGGTGGCATATCTGTTGAATTTTATGATTTATATGTTACAAAATACTGATTTAGGAGTTAGCAAAAAATCTGGAAAGCTCCCACTCAGAATAACGTCTGGTTAAACATCTCTGTTAGCAAAACCAGCTGCAAAAAGTAAACAGATTGTTTATATTCAAATATGTCTAAAAATAATAGTTTAGAAAAAAACTGAATTTTCTTCAGAGCCAGATCATTTTAGTCAACCCATGTGCTTTGCTAGAGACAATTGTATAAATACTCCCTTTTCCATTAGCTTAATATGTGATGTGAAACAGGCCATAATTACTATTGTATGTGCTTCTGTTTTTCTATGTCATACACAAATATAAAACTCACACTGATATACAATAGTAAAGACAGAAGAATCGATACAAGTGTATAAAGCAGTATGTCACAAGCAATATTAAAGAAGCATTTTTAACAGGTTACAGAATTATTTCACATACAGACTGAAACATTGTCATCATATTCAAAAACAACACAGAGAGAGACTTAAAATATTTGAGTGTGGCATTCAGTATATCTAGTGTCACAAGTAGGACGCACAAACCAGTCTAGCCTTTTAACTTGGATTAGCCAGTAAAATAAAAACACAACCACCTGAATACTGTACAAACAAGCTCGTGCATCTGATAAACGAGAACCCTCAGCCAGTAAATCACAATCAAGAACGTTAATGATGTATGATTTGTTTGACGCCACATGCTCAACATTTTATCAAAGAATATAAAGAACACAACATCACTGTGAGGGAGTTTAGTTAATCCAAACCCAAACTACACCTCTGCAGCCGAATTGAAATTGTGTTTTAAAAATCCATCCGATACAAAGTATTTTGAAGGGGGTGGTGTAAGACAAAACAAAATGTCCATTTCAGAGTGAATTACATTTTTTACATTCATGTTTTTTGTACTAACAGTTGTACTCAGATGTATTCACAAAATCGTAACACTGCACAGTCCTTTTTTTTGTAACACACTTTGTAACGTGACAATATGTTGATACAGATCTCCAACACTTACAGAGAAAAATCAAAAAAGCACCATAATATTAATCAGGATACTAACTCTCAGTTCACAAGGAATAACGGCACTCAGGAATTAAATGCACTTGAAGGTGCTTTCTGAGTATTCATATCAAGATTGGGCTTAGCTAAGGGCTGTATGACGAGGACTAGAATGAGGAGTCAACCAAGGTGTATCTACAACAGTAGAGATGGGGTGGAAGAGGGAATCATGAAATTAAATTATAAACACAGGGAATGATTTAGAACATCTGGGGCAAAGTTTGACTTGGTTGTCATCATCCCTCTCAAACTTCAGTTAAGAACCTCATATACAGTAATGGACCCAATATCTAATATTAAGGTGTGGCTGAAACAAAGACAAGCCTGGTTATTTAGTGGGTAAAGCTCATCCATGTGATCTCACTCACATTATCCTGGTTATGAAAAAACTTCCTTTTGCCAGGTCCTTAGAGCAGATGAATGTCTTGACATTTAACTTCAACTTCATACTGTATCAAATTCTTGAGTTGTAAAATAACACAGAATACTGAAAGCTCTAGCCACGTTACAAAACAAGATGTTGATTCCTATTGAGGAAAGCTGGAAAGAGTTTTTTTTATCAGATTCACCTGACATTCAGTGAATGTCAATATAAAAAAACGAATTTTCAAAGTTTTAAAATATAATTATAGAGTATGGGGTCATGGCACATATAAAATCTAGCATTTGAATTATGTGGAATGTTGACTTTTTGGAGTATTTCTTTAATACAGTTACTAGTTTCCAGGGTAGTTCTCATTATGTCTTTTTTGACAGTATTAGGTGTTTAGAATATTACTGTTCAGAACACACTCATATGCCATCAGTAATTTTTAAAATACTGACAAGAAAAAAAGCCTGGGAGAACTTTTAGAAGTAATATCTAACCAATGGAAAGCCATTCAATGCAATAATAAGGATTCATAAACTGCTATTCCATGAGTACACTTCACTGACAATGCTTTCAACATTTCAAACTTAATTAAAAAAATGTTTAAAGTAATGTTAAGGATGAGGCTTTATATCAAACTGGAAAGATTGTTAAAGAATAATTCAAAATGTTTTCTTAAAATAAAGTATATATTCCTTTATGATTTTTCATAGCTATAGTACAACACAATACCATACAATATGAACAAAATGTATTTGTACAAAATATAATATATGCTATTATTTACATCCAGGACCATTCCTGTTGGCTCTTGATAATCTGTACAAGAAACATTCTTAAAAAGGCTCTGCAATAACAGCTCAGAATGTTTCTGCAGCAAAAGCAGAATGCTTCATTAAGCAACTTCACATCTTTCAGTTCTGCGTAATGCTTAAATATTCACAGTATGACTCTGGCGCAAAGTAGGAAATATGAGCAAAATCATTTCATATTATATTTGGGACAGGAGTATCAAGATCTAAATACGATTTTAAAATCCTGACCTGAGATCAAGAATTTACTTTTAAAAATGTCATTAAATGTCACTAAAAATACATTTAATGACAGCTTTTGTTTAAGTTACAGTATTCTTCGATGCATTGTTTTTGAATAAAAGCTCTTAAAGGATGTAAAGTTAACCACCTACGAAACAATGTAGTCTAATGAGGTTTGATGATGAAAATGAGATTTACATTTGATTGAAACAAAATACGGTTTTGAGATCATGTCAGTGTGGGAGTAATTTTCGATTTCCATTAACCATAAGAATGAAAAATATTGAATGGAAAATTTAATAAAGCAACTTAAAAGAGTTATGTATCAACTATCCTTTTATGTCACACCTGCCTTTCAAAACAAAAAAAAAAACGAAACTGCTGAAATACAGACATTATCACTGCAGGTTAAATCTCAAGCAGTAGAGTGCCTCTACCTTCTTACACAAGTTTTACTTGAAATTACAAGATGAAGACCCAACACTGTACATCAAACTCAGTCTACAACTAAGATATCACTCATTTTTAAACAACGATTATACTGAAGGTAACAAAAGCTATTATGCCAGGGTAAAAACCCAAAAGTCTCTGAATGGCAGATGTGTTCATTCAGACTATAACGTTGGTCCTCTGAGGTGTTATTTTGAGTGGAATTTAGAAAGATTCTCATATTTTGGTGTATTATATAAAAAATAGCATTTAATTGTACCTGTATGAAAAATAGAACTCATCTTATTCATCCAACAGATATATTAATTTATACCATCTTAACCTAAATGCAAAACTTTGTGGTAACAGTTATTCTGCAGGTAGAACAAACATCCTGTACAATCAGGCATGCCGGTGAGTTACTCAGTAACAACATTACAATCAGTCTGCCATGTTGCGTAGCAGTAAAAGTAATTATACAGCAAATGCAGTTTTACAATGTCAAGCCTTGGGCACTTAAATATAGTTTGAGGTAGCATGAACTTTGAATACACACGGATCATCCTTCGCCCTGCTGAAACGTCAGCTAGTCCTTTACATCCTTGCTCACAGTCAGCTGGCAGAGAGTCTTCTTGACGCGAAGTGCTGTGAGCCGAGCAGCCGCACTGTTGTACCAGCACTCTCGCATTATCTTCCCCATCACCCGGAGCGCCTGGAGACACACATACACGCACACGCAAAAACGGCACAATGAGCAAAAGACCTTGTTTCTCCCCACAAAGATTTCGTGCATTTTTGCTACGTAACGTAGCTGTACAAAACACATCAGCATGAAACAACAGAATCCATTAGACAGGGTCCTGAAAAATAATAATACAAATAAGCATGATTTCTTACACTTACTGTATATAGCCTTTTTCTGGACACTCCACTCAAAGCACTTTAAAGTATTGGGGACACCCTCCACCACTACCAAGGTGCACCAGTATGCTCTCCACACATCAGCTCTCAGCAGGGAGGAGAACGGAGTTATGAAGTCAGTTCATAGATGGGGATTATTAGGAGGCCATAAAGGCCAAGGGGAAATTTGGCCAGGTAACTGGGGTAACAAGAAGAAATGCCCTGGGATTTTTAATGACCATGGAGAGTCACGACCTCAGTTTAACATCTCATCTGAAGGACAGCATCTTTTTTTTTTACAGTATAGTGTCCCCATCACTAAACTGGAACATTAGAATCCATACAGACCGCAGGGTGAAAGCCCCCTACTGGTCTCACTAACACCTCTTCCAGCAGCAACCTTAGCTTTAGAAAAGAAGGAAGCAATACTGATGCTTTTCAGTTTAAATCACAGATTATTTGCAAAGTTCTCAGTGACATACAGGAGGTTCAGCAGCAACTGGAGGAAATCACAACCACAACATCCCTCACTGAGGTCACCACAAGGTGGACACCACGCTGGGGTCCGAGTGAACCCTAACCAGCTAATTCTACCCCATCTCTTGCAGTGCTGAGCAGAATATGCACCTCTAATTGATCATGTGACCAAGTAATTCCGGACAGCTAGTCACATGACCCAGATTAAGTCTCACAACACCTGACACACAGATCTTAACCTGTGTTCAGTGGGAGCGCCTTTACTGACTGAGCCAGCAATTCTGCTTTTTACAGGCACTAAATACAATAATCAGCAGACTGGAGAATTGTGATTATTGTTCTTGCAATATTACATTCAGCTCCTTCCCTATTATATTGGCCCTAATTAACTGCATTCATTTGTCAATGGGAGTAAGTTTGGCAACAGCTTAGATTCAAAATTCAGAACTTTTCTTGTAGAACCAGAACAAGATGGAGGAGCAATTTCCAAACACTCAGCTGCTTTCTCTCACTTCTGAATTAAGTTCTTAACTTACTTCACAGCTCTGCCACTGGTTGGGAATGTTAGGTCTCAGTCTCTGGTCACAAACCACTTTTCTTATATCTTCTATAGAAGGATCAGAAGGCACCATGTCATAATAAGGCAACTGGTAGTCTTCATAAATTCCTAGACAAAAAAGGCAGGAATGGATTGCTATTGGAAGAACATCCAATAAATGCTACACTGAATAATTTACTGAAAGAAACCTTTCATGGACATTTTTCAAATTAAGGGAAATTCTAAGGCTCTTGTTGCACACATCTGATAGGTTATTTAAAAGAACACAAGCCAAAGAACTGAACAGAAGGTCTGTTAGATTTATGCAAACTTGCACGTTATGCTTGCTTTGGCATTGAGCACTTTAGAGAATTTCATTATATCATATACTGAGTACACATCACTTGTTTATATAAAAAAAATATTTGCATTCATTAGTCTACGGAACATTTAACCAGGTTTAACCTGGTGGTTTTGGTGCACCCTTATCAGAAAGCTGTTTGTTCTGGAGAGTTTCACAGAGACCTGGCCTACAGGGTGTGAGGTGGGACAGGGCACAGAAGAAGAGAACATTTAGAATAGGCAATCAACCTATACAGCATGTTTATGAGAGGTGTGAGGCCACCCAGGTAAAAATTTAAGCAAACTTCACACAGAATCTCTGAGAGGACTCAAACCCTGAACCCTAGAGCTACGAGGCAGAAGCAGTAACACCCCTACTCTTTTTGAGAAACACCCTGGGAATTTTAATGACCATAGAGAGTCAGGACCTCAGTTTCATGTTTCATCCAAAGGACAGCGTCTTTTTGCAGTATGGTGTCCCTGTCACTATACCTGGGTATTAGGACCCACACATACTGCAGGGTGAGCGCCCCCTACTGGTTCTACTGTGGCTCCACTGTAACCATTTCCTGCATCAACCTTAGCTGCTTAGCTTCAGTGGGTAGTTAGTTGTGAGTTGCAGGGTGATATGGCTGCTTGTGCTATCCAGGATACCACTGTGCTGCCCCTTCACTTGCCTTTATTTCAGATTTAAAACCTTATTGTTAATTACCTCTCACGGAGCATCTTCGTGCCAATTCCCAGTACACCAAGCCCAGAGAGTAGATGTCAGCTCGTTTAAACGACTCAAAGTTGTTCATATTGATTGTGTCATCAAGGATTTCTGGAGCCATGTACCTAAAATCAATAAACTCATTTACTCCAAGTAATACAATATGTGCTTTTGGTACAACACTAAACAAAGATACAGCTGTTCCTTCAAGCACACATGCTTTTCAAGAAGTGATAAAGGGAATAAGTGTCTGTTTATATAGCTTATTTTAAAACGCATTACATTTTCCTGTGATTTTCTTGGGCATCTAAAGAAATTTTCTCTGATGTTTACTGGTTAGAAGAACAACACTGTATATGATTAATCTATGTTAATTCATTAAGACAAAAATTAAAATGTGTCTATTATCCTACATATTGTTTAGTTCAAAAGTGCCATTGTATATCAGGCTAAAATGTATATACAGCATATCATAATTAATATGATACCGAATTAAGTAAGATCACTGATTGACTGTATGACAGAATCCCAGGAAGAGTATTTTCTCTAGGACATTTACTAAGAGGTTTTACTTTCTGTACATGTAAGGCCGTCTGATACAGAGACACTGGACTAGAATTTTGGTCTCTGTACTATCACAGCTGATGATTGTGAATAACTACTGCAATGCCGAACTGATGAGTCTGGATTCTCTGAAAAGTGTTTCTTCTCATTTGTCCAAGGAGGGCCATATTCTGTGTGGAAAACGGTGCCTTAGTTCACACTATTTTTGTACTGCTGAGATTCAGTGAGAGACTAGGTATTACAACTCACTAAACCTGGCAAGGAATCAGAATGAACACTGAGCATTAGAGAACTAATGCTCCAGTGAACTCATTTGCTGGGACTCTGTAGCTGATTTTGATAGCAAATCAACATTTTGACTGCAAAAAATAGACTGAATTTGAGATGATGATCAAATTCAAATAACCAGAACATTATCACATTCAGTTTGGGATTGCTGTGTTATTTAATTGGTTAGAAACAATTCCAGTCTATCATCTGTAAATCTTAAAACATATATACAGTATGTGTGCATTTGTAATTTATTGCCTAAGGTAAGAAAGTGAGTTAAAAATATTTCTGAATGTTATGACATTTTCAAAAAATTATAATAAATCTCCAAAACATGAATAAGGAAAGTTTTTATCTTAAAACTATGAAATTATGTTTCAGTTAAAGCAGCTGGCTTTGAGAGGCATTCTGCTCTGAAAGCAAAAGTATAAAGCTCACCTCTTTGTTCCCACTCTGTGGTTTGAAGGTATATCGATCATGTTCGAAATGGAATCATGTTTAACAGCAAGGCCCAAATCAGCAATTGCACCCATACCGTTCTTTTTCACCAAGACATTTTTGGACTTCAAATCTCTGTGAGCAATGGCAGGTTTTCCTGTCAACCAAGAAGGAATTTCTGTAACTTGCTGGCAGTAAACGGGCAGTTGTTTTAAATCTAAACCATACTAATTGCAAAAGTAAACCTTTAATCACCCACTTGGCACATTCGTTTTTCTAAAAATAGGAACAAGTTGATGTTAATTCCACACAGAAAAATAGAAATAAAAAAAACTCTCATCTGTTGAGCCTTCTTCAGGTGTCTGAGTCTACTTGTTCCATTGCAGCCCCCATGCTGACATGCGGATTTTTAAGAATACGATCAATTCAAACAAATTTAGCATTGTCTGTAGTATTACACTCACTGTGTGTAATATAATCACAAAGAAAGCTATTTTTGTCTGAGTCCTCTATAGGTTTTCTTGCAGTAAGTCATTTGAAACTGAAAATGTGGTCTAGAATAGACCTGTTTGTGTTTAGAACTACATAGAATTACATTTGCACCCACAAGTCACTTCCCATGTCATATTCTGAATCTTTACAACGGTAATCATTATGTCAATGACAGGGCACGATCAGGATGTCCACATGAAAGACACCAGAGCAGGTTCAGTGGATCAGGGTTCAAACACCTCTGTAATCATATTAAGATGACAACTGTACACCCAGTGCACTGTGTAACAACCCAAGAGTCCACCTGCCTACATTTGTCAAGGTGATAAGAACATGGAATTAATTAGTGACTGACTTTGTAACTTGTACTTAAAGCCCTATCTACTCTTTGGTAGCTAAGCAATTGGAAACTAAAATATGATTTACCAGAGAATCCAATTCAAATTCAAGGACTGACTGGAGATAAGCCTGTGTTAATTTACAAATACCTTTACACAAAGTGTACTTTTTAGACAGTGACAAATCCTGAGCAGTCTGCTTTCCCCACTCCACTTTTCACTCACTGTCCCTGTGATTGCTTTTGACATGAGTATAATCCAGTTTAAAAAAATGATAGAATAACCTAAGTCCATCATTTTGTGCAAAGTGGGGGACTGAAAACACAAAAGGGATTTATTCACCAAACATATCTGACTTAGAACTTACCCTGAGTGCCAATTATCTCCATATGAAGATGTGCCAGACCACTGGCGATAGAAAGTGCGAGAAGTATCATTCCTTCCACAGAGACAGTGTATCTGTTTAGATAATCAAACAGCGATCCGTGCTCGTGATATTCTGAGACAAGCCAGAGCTGGGTCCAAGTTCCATTATCTGAAACATGCAGGACTATTTTAAGCAGCTGAAAGCCCTCACATGGGAATTTGCAGACATAAAAGCTGCACTGCTCTTTCCTATTATTGAAACCTTGCAATTAAAAAGGTCTGCCTTTATTACACAGCATTAAACTCATATTTAAATGTGTTTCAATTTATGTTTAAAATTGTTTTTGAATAATGCATATGTACTACCTGAAAACAAAGATAGATGAGATGCCCAAAATTTTCCTCTTTTAAAATGAATAGCATTTTACAGAGCCCACTCCAATATTAGTCTTGAGAATCTACTCAGATGTGCTCAATCTATGCTCCAATTTGTGGAATACCTCAGGACCAAATGTGGACATACTCTTAACATTTTTTCACTATCTTATTTCATTTATTATTGGCCATATTACCTTTATTATCAGCAGCAATGAAGCCCAGGATATTTTCATGTCTCAACATTATCGTCTGGAATATTTCTGCTTCCCTGAACCAAGACCTCTCGTCACGAGAGGAGAAGATTTTGACAGCCACATCCTCCCCTCGCCACTTCCCTCGCCAAACCTCCCCAAAACGCCCCTTTCCAATTATTTCGTGAAGGACAATAGTCCTGGCGATTGTCCTCTGAACTAGCAATGGAAGTCCTAACAAAGGAAAACAGCAAAATATTAAAGAAAGCACACATTCAAGAATAATCCATTACACATTGTCACACCATGTAACATATAACTGTAATATGTAAAATATTGACTGTACTACTGAGTGTTTATGCACTATGAAAAACATGTGAAATTTTAAAACTGGCTTCAGGAGCCCAATGGAGGTGATGGGACTAAATACTGTCCCAAAAAAGACATTGTGCATGATCAATGTGGCAACTTTATTAATAAATCAGATTGTTCTGATTCACATGTTGAACGTACTACAACCAAATACATCTTTCACGTGAAACTGAAAAAGCGTTCATGCATAAAATGTCACATATTTCCTTGATTGCATGTGGAAGGTATAGTTTCAGTGTATTTATCGGGATGTGCTATAACTCTGTATTATTTAAGATGGCATATCAACTCTGCATTTGTAACAGGGCAATCTGAGTCTCATACATAGTCATGATTATCCAAGGTCAACTTAGAACTGCAATGTACTAAAAAGCTACTTCAGTTCTCACAGAAGTACCACTAGTGCACTTCTCAAACTATACAATACCAAATTATTACATCAATGACAGGGTACATTCAGGACATCCATGGGTAATATGAGCAGAGCAAAGCCAAATGGAACAGGGTCCTACATACAACTTCAGATGGTAACTGCAAGCATCAGAACGGACTAGTAACCCAAGAATCTATCTGCCAGGACGTCCATCCATTGATAATGTCCTATCCATTGTCCAGAGGTTATGAGAACATAGAGTTCATGACTAACTGACTTAGCAACTTGCACAGAGATGAAAGACTGGAGTGTATACAATGTCTTAGGAGTACAGTGCCTTCTTCATTAATCTGTGATTGAGTTACACTGCTGTACATCTTATATTGTAACAATACACTACTTTTCTATTCCATGTGTGGTTTCTTTTCTGGGGCAGTATATACAGTATATACAACATAGACATGATATTTCTAAAATAAAGTTGAATTTAAAGCTGCAATATATAATAATGGATGGATATTTCATGTTACACAATTGTTATATAATAGTATAAAGTGGTAACACATTATGCAAACCATAATGATAAGCATACAGAGGTTATCTAATAAACAATCAAAACGGTGATATGGCTGGAAAATGATCTCACAACACATTATTCGGAGATTAAGGCACTCCACTAACAACTTAAATCATTTATGGTAGTGATGTCTGTGTGAAGTGTGCATTCTGACAATATGTTACAGTACAGTGGTACTAACAAAATAATTAGCTTTACATACCAGATCCAGATCCTGATGTGGTTAGGTCAAATATGAGATCTTTCAGGGACTTTCCAGATGACATTACATTTCGATCAGACAAAGCTTCTTCCATGTCATGCTTTTTAGCCTTGCTGTAGGTGCATCTCTGCCGACCGTGTAGCGTGCAGATTCCCAGGATTATCCCCAAACACAGGAGGCACACCGGAACAATGATCACAGCAGCCAGCTCCAGTGCTCCCCACTTGGATGGAACCGATGGATCTCCAACTAAAGTCAAGAAAACATGCCTTTTACAGAAAAAGCCAACTGTGTCACGACCATTTAAAATCTTTTTTTTTTTCAATTCACAGATGAAGAATAAATGGACACATTTTAAGTTCATTTTCTGTCAAACAGTCAAATCCAGTCCCAACATCCCTTAAACCTTATGAATACTGAAACAAATGCTGGATAGAAGAATACTCACAGGAGGCCTAACTACTTATCAGGTAACAATATGAGCCACTTATCCTCGTTTGTCTTGCTGTTACTTATAGCTGCTTCCCGCTTTACTTCAAATGATGGACTCTGAACATTCTGCCCTCATGATCAGGCTGTCATCTCTCAGACACACATGCTTGAGCCAATAACGCAATCTTTTTTGGATGCCAATCAACAAACCGCTAAAACTAATTAAACCCTTGTCTGTGTCTCACTTAATTAATAACACTGTTATTAATTACTAGCCTTTTTATCTTGGATTTCTTTCATCAGTGGTGAAAGTAGCCCTGATCCTGATCACAGAGCGAAGTCAAATGACACTGTGTTGCATGATTTTTCCTGAGTGCACAAGACAAATGCAGTTTCCATTAATATGTGGATTCACTTGTACAACTGTTATCTAACAGTAACTCCTGCACCCCCCCCCCCAGCATGCATTGTCATAGTTTAGGTTTTAATTGTCTCAATATCAAAATGTTTTTATGCTCAATACCATGCATTTTTCATTTCTTTTCAATTAATTATTCATCATCACTTTCTCGCACTTCTGGGCTCATATGACTTGTTCATAGTAGAAAATATATAGACTGCCAGCTAATGTTGATACTTGTCAATAGGCTAAGAAGCCATACTTGGTACATCTCCTGACAGGAAGTGAACAAGTTCATCCACAGTTTAAAAACACTGCAACGGTCTGGCTCTCAAGTGAACTCAACCCTGTGGTGAATGAAAGTGAAGAAACTGAATACTACTTTCCAAAAGATGCTGGTTCATTTTCTTCGGTAGACATAAGATTTGCTTTGTAAAGATAATGTTTCAGGAAACTATCATAAAGTGGAAAAAGCTAAAAAAAACAGACTGGAGGGGAAGGAAAAGAAAGTTGGGTTAGTATGCTTGAGTGCACTGTTAGGTTGCAAAGGCCATCAGACATTGATTTTAGTAATGATATAATTATGCCATCTAGTGGCTTTCTCTTTCCTAACATGTCAACAACAAACAAAGAATGAAATTGTATATGAAAATATACAAAAGTATACAAAAGTAAATCATGTACGATGGCCAATTCAAGTGACCGACATGAGCTAGACACATAAAAAACAGAAACCAAACAGTTGGAAGTGGGTAAAATGTCATTACTTTGTATCAAAACATTTTTTTTTGTTTTTTACAGTCTAACCGGAAACACAGCAAATACAGAAATATGTAACAAGTCATAATTTAGACAAACACAACACATTTAAAACAGAGGAAATACAGGTACAGTACGTCAATTTTGTACATTTAAGGACCATTCCGTTCTTGGAGAAAAAAATAAAAAGAAGAATTAAATCTTAATACTGCAGTATGAAGAAATACAAAATACGTAAATGAACTCTATACACTAATTGTTTTGAGAGTTTGCCAAATGGGAAAACAGCCTAAGTACCAGACAAGCTGTGTTGTAAAAATTTCTCAACTTTTGAAATATGACTGTTGTGTTCATACTTAAGGCACAGAAAGCATAATGATATTTGAAATAAAGCAATATTTAAAAGAAAATCCATGTGTTTTGTTAACCATATCAGAGCTAAGATACAAAGGTATTGTAACGCTTACGGCCGTTGCGTTACAGTATTATACAATTGTTCTTGCTCTCTGACCTTAATAGAATGTCTATCAGATATTCCAGCATATAATCTTTAAATAAATCAGTTTCAGCTCTTCTTCATCTTTATTTCTTTGTGGAAGCAAGACTCTAGTAAAAAATGTTAGGCAGCTAGACCAATAATTTCTAACCCGCATGTTTTTCAGACCCATCTATTTCAGAACACTAACCTATTGAACAATCAAATGGACCACATATCACAGTGTCTTAGATACTAAACACCAGAACCAACCTTAAAAAACATCAACTAAGTATCCTCATGAAAATGAAGAGCACATTGAAAACATATGTGCATACCTGGTAATTACGGCGTGTTACAGATATCCTGTAATTTGCATTTTATTTCTGTCCTTGTCCTTTCTGTTTGATAAGAAGTCCGATGCAAGGACACTCTGACAGGATTTAATCTCACACACATCCTGACCTGTAATTCTTGAAGAACCTGTGGCTATGCTTACATTCTAAGTATATTTCCATACACTTTCGATTTAGAACAAAGTAACATCTGTAGAAATTTAGATGCTGGATGTTTGCATTACAGATTCTAGACAAAATGAATACTTTTAGGCTGTCAGAGTGTACTTACCATGGACATTAATTACTGTACCAGCAAGAGAAATGTTCTATAATCCATCTATCACCAGAAAAACAGCGTACTGCAACAGGGCATGAGGCAGGATGAGAGTGTACCAACCCTTTGGACAGGATACGATTCTAATCTTTTTCAAGCCAGAATATCTTTGGAAGTTGAGAGGAAACTGGAGCACTCAGGAAAATTACATTTGTGTTTTTACATAGGTTAGGGAGAACATAAAAATACCACACAAAAAAAACCCAGGCTGGAATCGAACCCAGTGCCCTAGAGAGGCAAGGCAGCCATGACACCTGCCAAACACAATGTCAGCCCTACGAGGTTTTTACACACATGCCAATAAATTAACACAGAGGTACATTGCCTTGCAAAAGTATTCAGACATTTCTCATTCTGTGAAATTGAAAAATAATGCTTACATGTTGTTTAAACTTGCTATTTTATTGAAAACCTGAATGCTCAAGCCGAAGACTTCTAAGTGTAACATAAGTTCCAGAAAATGCCAGCAAAAACTAAAGAGAAAAAAAAATTAATATGCCGATTTCATAAGCTTTCAGACCCGTGAACTCAATAGCTGGTGGCAGCACTTTCAGCCGCAAGTGTTTTTGGGAACATTTATACCAGCTTTGCATACTGGTTTGCTGGAATTCTGCCCATTCTTCTTTGCAAATTTTCTCCAGCTCTCTTAAGTTGCTTGGGGATCACTTATGGACAGTAGCTTTCAATTCTTCATACAGATTCTCATAAGAATCAAGCGTCAAGTCAATCAAGGCCATTCACTTTCTTATTCTTAGGCTACCCCAGTGTATCTATGGTCTTGTGCTTTGTGTCATACTACTACCGAAATGTGTATTTTTGCCCTAGTTTTAAGTTTTTAGCTAACTGAAGCAAGTTTTTCTTTATAGTATTACCCGATGCTTTTCCACATTCATTGTCTCTTTAATCGTAACAACCTTTCCAGTCCCTTGCTAAGGAGAAACATTTTCACAGCATGATGCTGCCACCACAATGCTTCACTGTAGAAATGATCTTGACTGGGTGATGCCCAATGATGGTTTTGCATCAGATATAATGCTTTGCAAATACACCAAAGTTACAACATTGTGTCATCTGACCACAAAGACATATTTGCAGTTCATGTGACAAATAATTTAAATGATCTGTTGCAAACTGCAGGTGGGATTTAATATCAGTTGCTAGTTTGTATAGTGAAGGATGTTGCTCATGAACATTTTCTTCCATTTCAGGCACTGAACTATAGAGCTCTTTTGTTAACCTCACAGTGGCATCCCTCACCAGTTATCTCCTTGCCCAGCTGCTCAGATGACTGTGCTCACAGCCATATTAAAAGATTTGATGTTTTGTATAACTGTTTCAATGACTTTATCCCTGACTCGCTTTGAAAGCTACTTAGTCTTCATGGTTGAGTCTTTGCTTTTAATTTAATACTTGACCAACAACAGGTGTTTTTATTATGAAATTGTGACAACCACTATTGTGGTTCAAAGGTCACTTTAACTAGCTGTATGGCTTGTTAAAGTAATTTTGTGCATGTAAATCTAAGGTTTGCTACAGCATCCTTAGCATATGAACACTTGTGCAAACTTTTCCATTTTTTATTCATATTACAGTACTTATCAATTTACTTATTTTTGTTTTGCTTTGAATGTGTGTAGTAAGTTTAGTATATAACATACTTGTAGCCAGTTTAGTATGTAACATACTAATTCAAAGTGTACTTCAAAGTGTCATGAATGCATGCTTTCAAAAAACAAAATGTAAAAACTGTACAAGTGTCTGAAGGCATTGGATTTAGCGAAAGACTCCAGTTGTATAACTTTCCCTTACTGTGAAACAAGCCACATTTTATTAAGAGTTTTTGTTAGGTAAAACCTTTTTGAAATATCACAGATAACATGACAATTTCATATATCAATCAGTACAGTTCTTTAAATCAACTTTCTTTATCAAAATGTAACCCCGAGTTCAAAACATGTATTTACTCTTTTACAAAGTCTGTATTGCAAAGTACATGTTGAAAATGTGAAAACAATCAACTTAGAGTGTTTCGAAATGTGTTTTGCTTCTGCACTTTTCCCCAAAAGCCCATTTAAAATGTCCTCAGCCAGCTGGAGCTGAGTAGATCCCTCAACAGACCAGTTACTGATCCACTGCATTAGCAGGTCATAAGCACAAATTCCCTGGAGTGCTAATACCTACTTTGGAGATGCAGATAGCTTCCAGACACAATGAGTCTATGTCACGAAAATGAGCTCAATATAAATTTGGGAATCAGTGTGAACACTTCCTTCTTAATATGCTGTAATAACACCCAGTAGCTGACAAGGGCAAAACCTGGCCATACTAGATATAAATTCTGTACTTCTGTAATTCTGTACTGCACAGTATTTCCCTTTAAATTTAATTTTTTGAAAAACCTTTCACTCTTCAACAAATCATACCATGAATTCTATAATAAAAAAGACTGAGACAATACAACTAAAGGCTGAAATGATAGCACATATAAGCAGAACTCCTTGTTCTAAAGAC